GCCAGGAGCTCTGAGCTTCAGTCGCAGCTCACCGCTCCCACCCTGGCTTCACGAGCCCCAGACGCATGTCCCTCCTGTCACCTCTCCTCAGAGCTTAGACCTGGAGATGCCTGCACATGGCTAAGGGACATTTCACTCAACCATTCATTTAATGTTTAATGGGCCTCAACTATGAACCAACATCCCTGCGCTCATGGAAATGACATTCTAACGGGGAGGCACACAGTCCAGCGGTCACTAGGCAATCACAGCACAGCCCTGATTCAGTGGAAGTGACTCTCGGATATTGAGAGAATGGGGGAAAGCCTCACACAGGTGGTGGGTTGCCATTTAGGACGAGAACTGAAGGATGAGAGGGGAGTGCTGTGTGGTGGTGCAGGTTCCAGGCAGGGAATAGAGGGTGGAGGACTCCAGTGAGTGTCTCTGAACCAGCAAGTGCAAACGCTCAAAACTAAGTTGACAGCCTGGCCTACATGGTGAAACGCTGCCTGTACTAAAAAAAATACAAAATTTTTCTTTTCTTTTTTTTTTGAGACAATCTTGCTCCGTCGCCCAGGCTGGAGTGCAGTGGCATGACCTTGGCACACTGCAACCTCCGTCTCCTGGGTTCAACCAATTCTCCTGACTCAGACTCCTGCATAGCTGGAATTACAGGCGTGCACCACCTCGCCTGGCTGTTTTGTATTTCTAGTAGAGATGGAGTTTCACCATGTTGGCCATGGTTGGCCAGACTGGTCTCAAACTCCTCACTTCAGGTGATCCGCCTGCCTCGGCCTCCCAAAGTGCTAGGATTATAGGCATGAGCTACTGCACCCAGTCCCAGATTTTTTTAATTAGCTGGGGAACTACAAGCGCCTGTAGTTCCAGCTACTTGGAAGGCTGAGGCCTGAGAAACACTTGGACCCAGGGGACAGAGGCTGCAGTGAGCCAAGACTGTGCCACAGCACTCCAGCCTGGGTGACAGAGCGAGACTCTGTCTCGAGAAAGAAAAAAAAAAAAACTGAAACTCATTAACAAAATTGACAACCTACATGCTGCCCCTGCTGGCATTACCCTAGGCCTTAGAGGGTCCCCTCCACCCAGCCCACTGTGTGAGTCCAAAACCCAGAGGCCACCTTGGGTCCCCTCCTCCTCTCCCAGGGGCTGGTGGGTGTTGCCCCTCTGCTCTTTGTGCCTACTGGCAGCACCCACTGGCTCTCTGATTGTTGGGCTCTTCCAGCGCAGTCTCCATGTTCAGTTGAGTGTCTTTGGCAAATGCAAAGTTTGCTCCTGTCTCTGGCTTCCCATTTGTTCTTAGGATGAGACCTAAAATCCCTAAGTGGCCTTTGAGGGCCTTTCATGGGTGGCCCCTGCCCTCCTCCTCCTACCGTGGTTCTTGCCACACTAGCCTTTCAGTTCCTGGAAAGCTGGCCCCAGGGCCTTTGCACAAGTGCTTCCTCCCACCTAGAGCAGCCTCCCACAGCTGGCCTCAAGCTTCAGCTCCACCCCACAGCTATTCCCACCGCTCAGCTGCACTTTTGTTTTTTGGCACCACCATGCCCAATTTTTTGTATTTTAGTAGAGATAAATACTCTACTAATACTACTAATACCCTACTAACACTCACTGTGTTGCCCAGACTGGTCTCAAACTCCTGAGCTCAATCCGCCCATCTTGGCCTCCCAAAGTGTTAAGATTATGGGCATGAGTCACTGCGTCCGGCTTCTGCTGCATTTTTTTTTTTTTTTTAGACAGAGTCTTGTCCTGTTGCCCAGGCTGGAGTGCAATGGCACGATCTTGGCTCAATGCAACCTCTGTCTCCCGGGTTCAAGTGATTCTCCTGTCTCAGCCTCCCAAGTAGCTGAGATTACAGGCATCTGCCACCATGCCTGGCTAATTTTTGTGTATCTTTAGTAGAGACGGGGTTTCACCATGTTGGCCAGGCTGGTCTGGAACTCCCGACCTCGTGATCCACCCGCCTTGGCCTCCCAAAGTGCTGGGATTACAGGCATGAGCCACCACGCCTGGCTCCTGCACTTTTTGAGTATCTGTGCGCCTGCCCAAGTCTGACCACCTACTTGAAGTAAGCTCTTTGGGACACAGACAGCTCAGTGTTGCTCCATCGTATCCCCTGGGCCCAGCACAGCCTGGCACACACTAGGGGCACCATATTGATGGTTGTGCCGTGGCTGAGGATGGATGAACTAAGGAAAGTACCTGCTGTGGAAATCCCGGATTCCTCCCCTCCTTCGCTGTGGTCCAGCTCAGTCCTACCCAGTGAATGGGGCTGGACATGCAAACTTAGGGCCAGTGAAAGGGTGTGTGGAGAGCCAGCCCCAAGTTGGCACCAAGCTGAGGGGGCTGCACCCCAGCCCTTTAAGGACTGAAAAGTTTTCCCACTTTTCTCTGCCCTTGCAGCAAGATGTCCTCAGTTTCTATCACAGAAATAATTTTGCAGTGGTAGAGCTCCTCTGGACCCCACAAAAGACACCTATGGTGGGGGTGGAGGGAGAGTTCCTGTCTCTGATGGTCCCTCAGAAGAAACAGGGGCATCACCTAGGCCCTTTCCTGTTGTGCAGAGGGGCCCAGTGTCACATGGTTAGTTGGTTGGTATGCTACTGTAGTTTTTGAACTTAAAAAAATAAAAATCAGGGCCAGGCGCAGTGGCTCATGCCTGTAATTCCAGAACTTTGGGAAGCCGAGGCGGGCAGATCACAAGGTCAAGAGATCAAGACCATCCTGGCCAACATGGTGAAACCTTGCTTCTACTACAAATACAAAAATTAGCTGGGCACCTGTAGTCCCAGCTACTCGGGAGGTTGAGGTAGGAGAATCACTTGAACCCAGGAGGTAGAGATTGCAGTGAGCCGGGATCGTGCCACTACACTCCAGCCTGGCGGCAGAGCAAGACTCCATCTCTAAATAAATAAATAAAATAAAAATCAGTAGACTTTTCTGTATAAAACAGAAAAAGGGGGATTGGCATAAGACACAGGTCATAAAGACCTTGCTGACAAGACAGGCTGCAGTGAAGAAGCCAGCCAAACCCACCAAGACCAGATGGCTTCTTGCCTTCTGCAACCAACCTACAAATTCACCTTAAGTGAAATCCTAAGAAAACTGAACTGCTCTGCTAGAGAGCTGGGGTGCCAGGCACCCTGCCTGCCTCTCTCCACCTCTCCAAGGTCCTTCCTGATCTCATGAGCTTTCAACTGCACTGTGGAAGACGCCTGGGAACAGGGGCAGGTTTCTAAAGCAAAACTCAGTTCAGGTACAAAACGAATTTTCTGTACCTTTCTGGAATGCAACACACAAAAAGCTTTAGCGTTTTTTTTTTTTTTAGAGACAGGGTCTTGCTCTGTTGCTCTGGCTAGGCAGTGGTGCAAACACAGCTCACTGCGGCCATGACCTCTCAGGAACTCAATCAATCCTCCCACCTCAGGTTCCCGAGTAGCTGGGACAACAGGCATGTGCCACCACACCCAGCTAATTTTCTTAATGTTTTTGTAGAGGTGAGTTCTCGCTATATGACCCAGGGTGCTATCAAATTCCTGGGCTCGAGATCCTCCTGCCTCGGCCTCTCAAAGTGTTTGGATTACAGTCATGAGCCACTGCACTGGTCCCTTGGGGTAATTCTTGAGAGGTAAATCATTCTACTGAAGATTCTGGCCAGGGACAGTGGCTCATACCTATAATCCCAGGACTTTGGGAAGCTGAGGTGAGTGTATTTTTTCTCTAAAAATACAACAAAAAGTAGCTGGGTGTGGTGGTGCCACCTGTGGTCCCAGCTGCTGGGGAGGCTGAGACGGGAGGAACGTTTGAGCCCCTGAGGTTGAGGCTGCAGTGAGCTATGATCCCACCATTGCACTCTAGCCTTTGTGACAGCAAGACCCTGTCTCAAAACAAACGAAGTACCACAAAGAGCAGATGCCAGTATCTTAATGCCAGGATTATGGGGCATTTTTTTTTTTGCTCACTTCTATTTCTAGTTTTCCTACATAAATGTGTTACCTTTGATAAGAAGGCCACAGCTGGTGTTACCACTGGCGCTCCTGAAGTGGGGAGAACCCTCATGGCTAACGGTGCTCGGTTGTCCACTGCCTTCACGTGGCCTCTCTATGCTGGGCCGGGGTCTGAGCCTCAGGTTCCAACATCATGTTCCCCAGAGAACATCTCGAGGACCTTGGGTCCTTGAGATGCGGGGGTGGAGCTGGCCCAGCCCTGCACCATTTGCCTCAGGGTCCAGTTCAGGTTGGCCCTGCTGGCCCCTGGGAGACGGCCCCCGGCTCGATGGCTGTGGTCCTCCTGCCTGCTGGGCTCTGGGTCAGAATGACAGGCCCACCTTGGTAGGGCTCCCTCTGCATAGTGCTGTGGCTTAAAGGTCCCCACATCAGCCCTGGACAGCCATCCTGTTACTTCTGAGTCAACTGAAGCCAACAGAAATGCAGCCCCACAGTCGCCATAAAGGTGACCCCAGAACTTGTGCTGTGACACCCTGGCCACTCCCCATCCCCGCTGCCTCTCAGTATGGAGCTGTGCAGCAGCTCGGAGCCCTCTCTGGCCTCCCATCCAGCCAAGGCACTGGGCCCTGAAGTCAGCACTCCTGGCCGTAAGAGGGCTCAGGGGTACTGCATAGGCCGCAGGTGCCGGTACCCAGCCCAGCTGCTGGAGTCACAGAAGACAAGGTGTTCTTCACATGCTGGCCCTGGCCACTGCAGCCAGGGGCAAGGACAGTCAGGGATGGCGGATGGGGTCAGGCTTTTCTGAAGAGCTGAGCTGAGTGCTTCCTGCTTGGACATAATTCCTTCTCTGCACAGCAAATTCTGGGATGCCCTTCTGGCCCAGGCTCAGCAAGGCAGTAAGTCTCCTGTCCAAATCCCTAAGCCCTTCCAGGGACACAGGGCCCATCTTCCACACCCAGAGCCCCACACTGAAGAAGAAAGAGAAAGTGGATGAGAGCCCCCTTCTCAGGGACCCTACCCGGGAGGGGCCCAAGCAAACGAATAGACAGACAGCAGGCATGACTCAAAGGCTCTATCTTTTTTGGTTTCCTTTTTTGCTTTTGTAAAGAAAAATAAGGTTGTGTTTTCTCTTTGAAACAAAACATAAGTAAAACCCCCTCCTGCCAGGCCTGTCCCCTGGCTCTGGGGGGTGCTGGGACCGAAGGTCCAGGCAAGAGAGGCCAGGCTGCTTGGCTGAGAGGAGGGAGTGCCCTCAGAGCCAGAGAGGAAGGGCACTGGGGAATGGAGTTTGGTTTTATTAAGCAAAAAATAAAAAAAACTCGACACACACACACATCCACCCGCTGTACAAAAATGGGGACTGCAGGTGCTGCCTCCGAGCTGGGACCCTCGCTGGCAGCTGGACTCAAAAGTCCTGAGGCCACCCAGGCCTCCATCCCCCATGTTTCAGAGGGTGGGGAGGGCAGGAGGCAGTATCCATCTCTCTCAGGACAGGTGTCGGGGGAGAGGAGGTTGATGCCAGAGCAAGTTCCTTCCCCACATAAAAAAAAAGTATTAAAAAAGCACCCAAAGCTTAAAAAAACGAATCCTCCATGGCAGGGAGAGTTGGGGGCATCCTGCTTACTAGCAAAATGCCTGACCTGGCAAAATGTGTAGAAAAATAAAATTAAACTTTATCCCTGAATGGCAGAGTGAAGACCCTTCCTCCTGCCCTGCAGTGAGTCTCAGAATCCACTGAGGCAGCCGGCATGAGCACATAACCAGCAGACACGCACTGCCCCAGGCTCATGTTGAGGTCCAGGGTGGGATGACGGGGGTGGGGGTGGGGGCTCTGATAGCCATGGGTGCACAGTCCCTACCCCTGCCTCACAGCATTAGGAGGACCCTCTTCAGTGCCAGGAAGGAGCCCCATCAGGGGAGTGGGGCAGGAGAACCAGGGGAGGACAGGGTTCTCAGGGGCTGAAGGGAGGCAGGTGCCCAGCAGGGTGGGCAAAGGGGTGCAGTCTCATCTGAGATCTGAAGGCCCCCTTCCAGTCTGCCCTGCAGTTCCATGCGAAGCTAAGGACCAGATGTGCAGGCCTGCAAAGCCGGCCAGGGCTCTGCATTCTTGGGGTAACGGGGCTGCTTCCTGGAAGGCCAACAGAGGTCACAAAGCAGAGGAACACCCAGCAGGGGAGGGCAGGGCAGGGGCTGGCACTGGTCCTGGAAGCCCAGCTGGGCTTTGGCAGCTCAGGCCGGGGAGCTCTGAGGGTCCAGGGCATCCTTCTGCCCACCCCACAGGAAGAGGCGAGATGGGGCAGATGACAAGGACCATGCCACCCTCTCCCCCAGGGGGCCTTCAGCTTAGTGGGGCTCTGAGGTGGCCCCAGGTGGGACGGGAGTACAGTACACAGATGTGACCATGCCTATGGTCGTGAGGCTAGAAGGCAGGCCGGGCAGCTCCTGCTGCAGTTACAGTAGTACTGGCGTCCCTGCCAGGCAGGGCTGAACAGTGGGGAGCACCCCAGGGTCATGCAGCCCTTAGGGCTCCCTGGCTTCGGGATCAGTGTCAGCACCAAACACAACCGATGTCAGCCAAGGAGATGGCAGGCAGAGTGTGTGACCCCAGACACACACTCAGCCCTGCAGTCCTGTAGGGAGGAGGGGCAGGTGTCCTGAGGACAGCTCACAGTCCAGTGAGGTCAAGCGCCCTGGAGATGAGGGCAGAGGCGGCAGCCCCTCCAGGGAGGGTTCTGAGGCCGGCAGTGGTCAAGCAGCAGGCACCGGTTTGCTCCCCTCCGAGGGGCTCTGACGGCAGGTCAGCGCAGGCTCTGGTACAGAAACGCTGAAGTGAAGAGGGCGTTGGCAGCCAAGCTCACGGCTAGGAGGCCCCGGACCAGGGAGGGGCCTAAACGACCTGCAGAGGGGGGAGACCTGGTCAGAACATGGGGTGTGGGTGGAGCCGTGGAGAGACCCGGTCAGAACATGTGGTATGGGTGAAGCTGCAGAGTCCCGATTACAACACGCGGTGTGGGTGGGCCCGCAGAGAGACCTGGTCAGAACACGGGGTGTGGGTGGGGCCGCAGAGAGAGTCCTGGTTAGAACACGAAGTATGGGTGGGGTTGCTGTGCAGCTGAGCAGCCTCCTAGAGCATGCAGTTTGTGGTGAGCTTAAGGCTCTGCCCAGGGTGCTCCACCAGGCTGGTGAAGCTAACCCCCAAATCTTCTCTTGGCCAAAGGCTTCCCTAGCAGGAAAGACACCTCTATCCCCGCCTCCCTGAAGGCACAGTTTTTCCTAACTGTGAGCTGCCAAGAAGGCCGTGAGCTGGGCTGTCATGAGGTGGGGCCTGGGCGACGAGGCAGTGACCAGGACAGCCACTTTACAGATGAGGACATGGGGGTTTGGGGCAGGAGCACCCCCACCCAAGCCTCCAAGGGAATAAGCAGCCAGCCCAGGTCTACCTGCCACAGCCTACGTTCTCAGCAAGGCCCCAGAGCTGCTGGGCCACCCTCCAGCCTGGCCTGATCTGGAGGCAGCACTGGATTCAAGAGCTAGTACAAAATGACCTTCCCAGGAAAAGCCCTTCCTGCTATCTGTCTGTCTCCCTCAACAAACACCTCCTCCTCCCCATCCGGGGCGTGATGATATGGACCCCTGATCCGGTTTCTTGTCCCTGTGCCGAAGGACAGTGAGCAGAGAACCTGGGATCTGAGCCAGTCAGCTTGGTACCTGGTGCAGGGCCGCAGTCCCAGTGCCACGTGGTCCCAGAGCGCCCAGGCTCTCTAGGCACTTCTGGCCAGGATGGCAGCCATAGGCCACAGGTGCCTAGTGAGCACTTGAAATGTGGCTACTGCAGCTCAGGAACTACATTTCAAACTTTATTTAATTTTAACTCAGTTGATTTAAATAGCTGCCTGGGGCCAGAAGCTACTGGAATCGAGCAGATCTGGACCCGTGTCCCAAGGGTGGGAGTGCTGGCTGCTGAGTCCCTGACCCTGGATTCAGAGGTGCTGGGTGGGTTACCTGCTGGCCGCTCCAGGACTGCAATGTCCTGGGAGATTCTCTCTCTGTCTGCACTCTGCACCCACCAGGGGAGATGGTGGCTGGGGATGTGTGCTCGCCCCACTCCCCTCCCACAACCCGGGTGCAGACCTCTCCAGGTGGCGGCCTCCTCCGAGCAGCCCCTGGTGGTGGTGTCCACCACACAGGTGGATGACTGGGAAGAGTCGTCCTCTTTCTTGATGGAGCGGCCGCTGCAGGCGCTGCCTCTTTCCAGCTTGGATCTCAGGTCTGCAGGAAGAAGGGTGTGCATCTCAGTGGTGCTCATGGCTCCCCCCAGGGACAGATGTGGGGCAGCTACACTTCACCTCTAAGGACAGTTGTCGGAAGTGGGGATCCAGCCTGTCCCAAGACACTCATCCACCCTGGGCAGTGGGGGGCCAGGTCCTTGCTCGACTGGCCTGCCATCTCTCTGCCAGTATTCAGGCCCAAGGAGACCAGATCTTCTGACACCGTTAAGAGACACAGGAAATCTAAACATTCGAGGCTGGGTGAGGTGGCTATGCCTGTGATCCCAGCACTTTGGGAGGCCGAGGCAGGTGGATCACTTGAAGCCAGTAGTTCAAGACCAGCCTGGAAAACGTGGTGAAACCCCATCTCTACTAAAAATACAAAATTAGCTGGGTATAGTGGCTTGTGCCTGTTGTCACAGCTACTCAGGAGGCTGAGGCAGGAGAATCTCTTGAACCTCAGAGGCAGAGGTTGCAGTGAGCCGAGATCTAGTCACTGCACCCCAACCTGGGCGACAGAGTGAGATTCCATCTCAACAAACAAACAAACAAACAAAAAAAACAAAAAAGAAATCTACACATTCATGTGAAAGTTGTAGATTTTAAAGGTTGGGGGCTAACTTTAAAAATTTTAAATGCTTTGCAGTGCAGCGCCATTTGTGTGAAACAGTATCTGTGACCACACGCACCTGGCAATGCGTGATGTGTTTTCGATCAGTTCCAAGGAACAGAGGACCCTGAAGGTCAACTGCAAAAGGAGAAAATGCAATCAGCCAGTAGAGGGCAATGTCCGAGAGGGTTCGAGTCACTAGAGTCAGAAGGGGGCTGCCTAGAGATCCAGAGTGGGAAGGTGCACGCTGGAGTCAGAGCAAGGAAGACCCCCAGCCTCGGCCCCCAGCCAGGCCTCCTGGCAGCAGAGGCCCTCCCTCTGCTACTCAGGCAGGTCAGAAGGCCGTACCCAGGGCATGCTTCGTGTCCTGCAGGGGTGGCCTCCGGGGCACCTGGGGTGGCTCCACGGTGAAGAGGCTGCTGTTGTGAGGCGAGTGCTCATCGGAGCTGCTGGGCGTGGTGGGGGCCTCTCCAGGGGGTGACGAGAACAGCAGCAGCTTCTGTCCCTTCAGGTTGAGCCGGGCAGGGCTGATGAGGGGCCTGCGGTGGCGCAGAGAGCCGGAGCTGGAGGCCACTGAGCCGGCCACGGAGGGCGCTGGGGAAGGGAGCGGAGAGGAGGGGCAGCTCCCTGACAGTAGAGAGAAGTAATCTGGAGGGTGTGAGGGAGGAAGATTATGTGAACATGGGCTCCTGTCACTGCAGCACTGTGACACGCTATTTCATTAATGGGGGTTTTCTTCTATTAACCTGGAAGAAAGGAAAGGTACAGGACTGGGGGCAGGGGAAGCTGATGTAAAGCTGAGGGAGGAGAGGGCTGCCCCCGACCAGGCGCCCAAGGGAGAGGAGAGATCCTGGAGCCTCAGCCATGGCCCCCCTGCTCTTGCTTTCCATCCAAAGCCCCAGGCACCATCCTCAGCTGAGAGCAAGGCCAGACAGCAGCAAACCCTGGAGATGCAAGGCCAGCTCACCCGAGGCCCTGCTGCCAGCTGGCACCTGGTACGCCAGCTCCAGCCCTGACTGCCCCTCCCCCACTTAGTGCTCTGTCCTCACCTGAAACGGGAAACTCCCCAGATCGAGACACCTGAGATGGTGGGCGGCTACCGCTGAACAGATAGCCCGAGTCTGGAGAAGAGAAGCAGGTGACACATCAGGCTTGTGGACGACACGCAGAGGCCCCCACAAATGCTCTGCTGAATCCCAACCCAGCCTTTGCTGTTTACAAGCGCGCTTTCACGAAAACACAGGTGCTCACAGGTCCCTTGGACTGCCATCTGAGGGTGCTGGGCACATTCTTTTTGCAGAGAAAAGAAACTGAGGCTCCTGGCGGGTGGTAAGAAGAGTCGGCCCCGGGCATACTGCTCACTCCTCGTTCCGTGCCCTTCTTCCAAGGCCCTGCTTTTCCAGCCGTTGAGTCCCACTTTCTCCACCCATGGCAGACCCCGAGACCCCACCCCAGAGAGCACCGACCACGCTGCCTTTTCCTAAGTCAGGGGCATGCACCCTAAGAGCAGGGGCCCCATTTCTAAGTGGCCTGGAGGCTGCTTTGTGTCCTGTTGCTGCCTGTGGGCACCAAAGGTTCTTTTGCAGCACCCAAATAACCCTCCCCTCACTGGGCCAGGGGACAGGCTGGGGAAGGGTGGTCAAATGACCCCAGCACACCAGCCAGGTCCTTCTAGAACCCATTCTGTGGATGCTGGGAGAGGCCATCTGCCTGCCAGGCATGGGCTACAGGACGCAGGGATGAGGTGTGCGCAGAGGAGCAGAGTGAGGACAGAGGGAAACAGCAAGCTATATTCTGGCCACAGCGCTGCAGCCTTGCCCAGCATCTCTAAGAACTCCTCCCTCCAACCCACCCTGGCCAGGGAAACTGTGATCCCATCTGTCACTGCACATTCCGAGACAAGCCTGTGCCCCACAGACCTCTGCCGCCACCGCAGACAGGCCGCTCTGTCCTTGCCTTGAGCTTCAGCTGGGAGACTGCCTGTTTCTCTTTATGAGCAGGAGGCCCGGTCTCAGAGGCCTGAACCAGCCCGGGGACTGCCACACCCCTCCTAAGGGGCTTAAAACAGAAGTCCCTGAGCTCCACCACCTCCGTTGGGAGTGCTCAGACCCAGGGCAGGGCTGCTCCTGGCACCTCCCACCCAAAGTTCCATTCAAGCATCACCAGGCTGGGGTGCCCTGAAAACAGGGGGGGTTATCTCTGCTTAGGGGAAAAGCAAAACCATCCTAATATCAACCTCGGTGTGTGCAAAATGGCCTGCCCTTGAACCACACAAAAGGAGACGGCCTTGCTGTTATCAGCATCTCCTCCCCCAGAATAACTGCAGCGGCCCCCTTTGCTGAGGGGCGTGTTCCAACTTTAGAGGAAAAGATTAGGCACGGCACAGTGCACGTACCTAGCCAAAGTCACGTCACCAGAGCTGGGGCTTAGGGACCCTGCTGGGCTTCCCAGCTGATGTGACAATTCTAGGCACTTTACTTTTATTTTTTTGAGACAGGGTCTTGCTCTATTGCCCAGGGTAAAGTGCTCACTGCAGCTTCATATTCCTGGGTTCACGTGATCCTCCCACCTCAGCCTCCCAAATAGCTGGAACTATAGGTGCATGCCATGGTGCCCGGTAAATTTTAAAAAATTTTCGTAGGGACAGGGTCTCCCTATGTTGCCCAGGCTGGTCTTGAACTCCTAGCCTCAAGCCTTCCTCCCACCTTGGCCTCCCAAAGTGCTGGGATTATAGGCATGAGCCCCATTTCTTTGAGGGGAAACTGAGGCTCAAAGTTCTGTTGCCTGTCTCTGTAGCAGGAACACTAACCCTTCCTGGCCCTCCCTATGCTATGTACCTACCCACAGTTCTGTCCCAGCTGCCCCAAGCCCTGTCTGCCAATGCCTGGGTATCCATTACCTGCTCGAGTCAAAGAGGGTATGGTTCCCAGTGAGAGGGCCCGGCTGAGGCGGCCGGGCAATGAGGAGGGTGAGGCCCGTCGAGGAGACCGGAAGAGCTGCTGGTTGGCGAGAGGCAGGAAGCTGGGCGGGCTGGGGATGAACAGAGACGCTGGAGAGCCTCCGACGCCCACGTGAGGGATAGCCAGGCTGGGGCTGGTGGGGAAGAGGCCAGCAGAGTCTCCTGGGAAGAACCTGCAAGGGCCCGTCAGGCATGGGAGAAGAAGAGGGTCAGCAGAAGGCCCTGGAGGAAGCCCTGGATAGTGAGTCCCACCACTCTCCCATGATGCAAGGTGGGGGCCTAATTCGGGGTCCCAGAGGAGGCGTGCGTTAGTTAAAGCAGAAAAGCAATTCAACCACATTCACGCCATTAGGAGTGGGTGGCTGGGAGGGGCCAGTGAGACCCAGCCCTCCCCGCATGCCCCCTCCTACCCCTCGGCTCACAGCAAACTATCTCCACTACGAGTCTCGGTATTAAAGTGACACTGTCGCCCTTGCCAACCTCGTGCCAACCCCTCTGCCTTGAAGCAAAAATGCCCACCCCCATGCTAGGCACTCAATGAAGTGTTAACGGACTTGGGCTCCTTGCCACTTCTTGTTCTGTGCCCAGAGCCTCCCCACAGAGTGGCCGGGCTTAGGGACACCCTGGCTCATCTCTCAGATGGGCCAGGATCACAGGAAGTCAGGCCCCAGCACAGCTCTGGGCACCCTCTGCTCCCAGGCATGATTCCTGGAAGTCCTCCCATAGCTCTGCCCTTGGGAGGCTGCTTCCTGCTCTCTGGTCTCGCACTCTGGAAACTCCTCTAAAGTTCCTGGTAGAGCAGATCTGCAGGGGCAGCCAGGCCTTAGAATCCCTTAGAAGAGGCTCTCACAGCACGACAACAAAACTGAACTTAAGGAAGACCACAAGGCTGCCCGCAAGACGGAAGGTGACAGTGTCTCTTTAACTCGAGATGGTACAAATCACGCAACAGGACCCGATGGCCCCACACCAGAACGTCAACCATGCTTCTGATTAAGGCACCCGATTACAGAGGGGAGAGGGGGACGGAGGCAGTTAATACATTAGTCCACCGTCTGGATGGAGCTGCGGGGGTCCAGCCTTACCTCGATGCCAAGGGACATATGAGCCCAGCGGACAACGTGCTGGTGAGCGGGCAGGCTGGCCCAGGCCCTGTGGGAGCTGGGGCTGACTAAGGGACCCATGCCCATCATGACCAAATGCCAAGCCACATGCCACCAACCTCCCAGCTAGTTTCCCTCTAAAAAAGTTGTATAAGGAAAGTGAGGGGTCAGCTGTGACTTCCTGGAGACTCGTGTGACCTTTCTAATGCCTTCCAAGGTACCAGGAGGCTACCTGGACTTCGGAATCAAAGGTGAGGCCCAGCGTTCAGGGAATGTGGGTATCAAGGCAGGAGCTGAGCCAGGGACCCTGGGGAAGGGCCGGTCAGCTGGGCTGGACACAGCCGTGCCCCACCCACTGACTGGTGTTTCCCAGGTCCAGGGCCCACCACCTTGCCCCAAGACTGCAGGGAAGGCTCCACCTCTACACAGAAGATGAGATTTTCTGTTGTCTCATTAGAACTGTGGTAGCATTTGGCAGTACAGTGTTGTGACTTGAGGGAATGGTCCTGAGGACACTTCAGGCAGGGGCAGCAAAGGCGTGGCTGGGACCCTGGGGCATGACCCTCCACAAAATGAGGGAGTTTGTGGGGCAGCAGGACTCTGGCCTCGAGCAGGCCCCCCCAGCAGATGGCAGCAGAGCTCTGTGCTGGGCTTCCTGTGCCCACTCCACCCAGCAGCGCAGACGTAGCCAAGAGTCAGCCAAGGGTGACCAGCACCCCCACTGATCTGTGAGCACTGCTGGAGGATGATGAGAGGAAGGTCCTAGTGGGTTGTGAGTTTGAGGTGGACAGCTGGGCCCCGCAGCTCCTGGCCCCCAGGGTTGGCTCCAGCAGGAGCGGCTGGGTCATGCCAGTGCGTCCCCACTCTTCCCAGCTCCTGCTCACCCTGCCTGGGGCTGCCTCAGTGCTTAAAAGCTGAATCTCCTGACCGCCTGGCACAGGTACTGTTGTTCTCAGTTTAGTGCTATTGAAGATGGTGCTGTGGGGAGTTCCTTGGCAGTCTGACCCCTCACTGTGATATGTGGGAGCATCACTCAGTGAGCAAGAAGACCTGGTAAATCGCTCACAGGGTTGCGCATGAGGGGCTAGGCTCTACAAGGGGGCCCCAGCAAGCCTCCCCCAGCTAAAGGAGCCCAATCCGTTGGGCTCTGAGGAACTCTAAAGGTGCTGACAATTCCTTTGGTGAGAGGTCCCCCCAAACTGCCCTGTGCCCTCAAACCTCGTCTCAGGGGGGACTAAGAGCCGAGGATCAGGCCTGGATGCTGCCCTAGGGAGTGCCTCAGTCACACTCATCTGACACCAAGGGGAGGCATCTGGTCTTCTCTGATCCAATCCCAGCCCACGTCAAGAGTGGAAGGAGAGAGACCACGTTTTAAGCAGCAGTTTATTGAGACGGAAAAAATACGATCCAGAAAGGCAATCGAGGGAAGCCAGGCCCCCTGAGCCACTGGTGTCATTGTCACTGGCTCTCAAACCTGACTCCTGTCGACATGTCTGTACCCCAAACACAGTAGCCCACCCCAGCCCTGGCACAGAAGCCCTTCTGAAAGAACAAAAAAGAAGAAAGACGCGGGACCTGACGCCAGCGGGTAAAAGCAGGGACCCAGAGGCATTTATTGAAAACAGCATCCAAAACACGACATCTAGGCTGGGAGCGATGGTTACAGTGGTGAGAGGGTCACTAGACAATTATCCACAATTCTACAACACGAAACAGAGACTCGGCAACAGTCACAGACAGAAAGGTCACGGGCTCTTTCCTGGGCGGGGCGCGGTAGGTGCGGCGTGGAGGCTGCGTCCTGGCGGTTTGCTCCCAGGCAAGGCGCACGGGGAGCCTGCTCCACCTGGGTAGGGACCCCACGTCTGAGGGTGAGGATGGCTGAATCTACCTCACTCATGTCTCAGGGATGGTCACCTATACCTAGGATGACCCCACCTGGACCCTGGAAGGTCTGATGGCCCTCCCAAGTCCCCTGCAAGGAGAGGTCCCTGGCAGGGGTGACACATGCTTGGTCAACATGCCACAGCACAGTGGTGCCTGCACTCCCTCAGCTACTGCCCAATACTCGAAGGTGGTGGCATTTTCTCCACGTAGTGTAACTTGAAGGGACAGATGGATAATTTAAAAAGTCAAGCCAAACTCTAAAAAAGGCAGGAAGCCTCACTCAGCTAAGAGCCACCTCCTGAGATGTCATTTCGGACCCCAGCAGAGGGCAGGAGTGCCATCAGCTTGGCACGAGGATCCCGCCAGCGCGAGGGCTGGCTTTGGTTATTATAAATAATCTAATTTAAATACACACATACACACAGATGTCCTGCTTCTACCCAATGCCAAGAAAAGCAGAAATTAGCATCGCACTGTCAACACTTCCTCGAGAACCGAAGATTCGAGACGCAAGCAATGGCACGGCCCGCCAACAGGATGCTTTCTTGCCCTGGCTCCACCACGTCCTCCTCTCAGATGGGTTTTTTTCAGGGTGGGAGGTGGGGCGAATGGACAGGCAGGCGGCTTTCTGCCCCTCAGACAGACACTACTGAGGGCCACTTCGGCTCAACCCCACACTCCTCACTGCAGAACCAGTGGGAAGTGCAGCCCCGTCCACAGCTTTTCAGAGCGGTTTTTCACCTCACGCTCCACACAGAACAAGCTGAGCCCAGCCACACTGGGGTCCTGTCTGAAGCCACAAAGCCCATTGTGCACAGAGGCTACAGAAGCCCCTGAGGGTCTCCTGATGCACCTGGGCTCCTCACTTGTGAAACTGCACACGGCGTGAGCTGCCACCCAATCACTGGGAAGGGGCAGCCTCTAGGACCCCCAGGTGTGGTGGATTCACATCAGTGGCACCCGGCAGCTGCCCCCTCCATCCCTGCAGACCCAGGTGGCAGGTGTGACCCTCACGCACCTGTGATCTGCTCTTGCTTCCCCCGGGCTCCAATGCATAGGAGAGCAGCTGGCACACCCCGGCCACATCCGGAAGGCGGGCAGCAGGACATGCTGGCCCTTAGGGAGTGCACAGCCAGAGGGAATGTGCCCAGCAGGGGATGGCCTCAGGCCACTCTGGACTGGCAGCCCCAGGCTGGGAACTTCCTCTGTACGTGGCAGCCCCTTGACTTCCAGAGCGTATCTTCACAAGCCACCTTACGTGATCCCTACCCCACTGAGGCTGGCAGCTAAGGGCTCTGGAGGTGGGTCTACCTCATTTCATAGATGGCTAACTGAGGTTGGGAGCAGCTGAGACCTGGCCAGGCCTTGTTATTGAGGAGCAGGTCTGCGGGCTGCCCCCTCCCGACTCGGAAGGCACAGTGGGGCTAGGCCATGTGGGCTGTGGCAGCCCCGGAGGGCCATGGAGAGCAGGAGGCTGGGGAGCCTCCGTGAGCCACTGCCAGGGTCCGGGGAGGCTCATGACAGGCCAGGGCGGGACAGGATGACAATAACCTAATGTTACTGAGGGCCTGCATGCCTTGGGCCCCTTTAACCCTTGGAAAACCTCAGATTGCCTAAGATCAACACAGGATCCGACTGCCTGTCTCAGGGAGGCTCTCGCTCTCCAAACTCAAGGCAAAGGCCAGGCTGGACCTGAGAACCACACTCTCCATCTCCAGGGATTCAGGAGGGTCCTAGAGTAGGAGGCCAAGCCGAAGCCCTGTCTCCTTCACAGTTCCACCACCTCCGGCAGGGCCAGTTCAGCCGCAAGCAGGACCAAGGGGATAGACCGAAGGTGCTAAGTGGGGGCGAGGTGGGGGCTCTGTGCTATCCCTGGCTCACTCTGCTGCACGGTCAGGGCATGCCAGGGGCCCAGCCTGCAGCCACTGTCACCAGCCCTGCGCCAGGGCTCAGAGGGGAAGACAGCAGAACCGGGCACCTCCCCCAACAGTGTCAGAGCCAGAAAATGGCGTGGTGTGTGTGTGGGGGATGCCCAGAGCTGCCAGCAGGAAGCCATGGGTCAGAGCCTGTGTGGGTGCTACCCACGTTCCAGTCACCAGGACGGTAAAAGGGCCTTGGCCAGAGAGGTTTCGATGGTGGCAAGTAACTACAGGAGACTCGGGAATCGTGGTGGTACCAGAAAGGAAAAGGGGGGTGACTGACTCTTCAAGGCAGTAGAGGGGCTGGGCCAGGACCCGGGGCTTGAGGTTGGGGGTGAGTGGGAGTGACCAGGTGAGAAGAGGCAGGGCAGAGAGGGGCCGCTTCGGACTGGGAGAGCCTGGGCCTGCGCATCTGCGTGTCCTCCCCCCGCAGTCACGGCTGCTTCTCTGACCTTCGGGGCCGGAACCTCCGTGGGCCTGTCGCCTTCCTTGTGGCCACAGCCGCTGTGAAGCCGACCAGGCAGCACAAAGACGTGGTGCTAAACTTGAGCGTGTCCAGCCAGCTGGGCGAGGCCTGCAGGTGCTGTTCCGCCAGGTGCAGTCCCAGCAGCAGGGCCCATAGGCACATGCAGAAGGCGTCGATCCTCCGAAGCCTGAAAGGAAGCAGTGGAGTCACCCAGTGCAGGACGAGACCAGTGAGGATGGGCGATGTGGACACAGCACTCACAAGGCACGCTCCCACTCAGGGAACCCGAGCCTCCCATGTGAGACCCCATAACACAGGAGGCAGGTGGTTGTCATCACCCTGACAGAGCCGGAGGAGGAGAGAGGAGGTAACTGGGTCCCAGCTCACAGCAGGTGTGCAGGGGACTGGCTCAGAGGGTGTCTGCTATGCTGCCGTACCCAACTGATGACTCCCAGACCCTGGGACCAAGCCTTGTATTAGCGACATGGTGGAGTTCAGCCTAGGTTTGTGTACCCAGTGGGGTCTCTTGGCCCCTGCCCTAGGCAGTGATCCAGCACACAGTTCCCCTCCCGTCAACTGCTGGCCCCGGCCCCACACACACCTGATTCGGCCGGCCAGTAGCATTGCCAGCAGGCAGGTGAGCAGGCCCAGCGCCACGACGCCCGTCTGATGGCTCTGTCCGAAGGCCCAGGCCTCATATAGCTTCTCTGACATATGCTCGGGCAGCAGGCCCAGCAGCTGCCGCCAACCCTCAGCCCCAGGGGCAGTGCCATTGTCAGGCGCGGCTGAGCCATTGCCACCAGGTGGCAGGGCCAAGGGCACGGTGGCACCTGGGGCAAAGCGGTCGCTGGCCCCATACAGTGCACTGGTCAGTAGGAAGGCGCAGGCCAGGAAGGCAAGGGCACGGAGCAGGATGACCTGGATTGGGGACTTCACAGCGGAGGAACAGAAGCTCTGCAAAGGAGGAAGAGTGACAGGTTAGCAACAGGTCACAGAGCCACCCCTAGCCATCACTGATGCCACTCTGTGTGGGGTTCTGGCTGGACCCACATTGCCACACATCCTGGGCTCAGGCCTCTGGGTTGGGAGGAGTGCTGCCCTACCACGCTCTCCTTTTAAATAAGTCTCTCCATATTGTAGTGACCTTATTTCTCCAAATGTGTTTTTTTGAGGCAAAGTCTCGCTCTGTCGCCCAGGCTGGAGTGCAGTGGTGCCATCTCGGCTCACTGCAACCTCTATCTCCTAGGTTCAAGTGAGTCCCTGCCTCAGCCTCCGAAGTAGCTGGGACTATAGGTTCATGTCACCACAGCTGGCTAATTTTGTATTTTAGTCAAGACGGGGTTTCACCATGTTGGTTAGGCTGGTCTTGAACTCCTGACATCAAATGATCCACCCGCCTCGGCCTCCCAAAGTGCTGGGATTACAGGCCTAAGCCACTGTGTTTGGCCTCCAAATAGGCGTTTCTCCGTTGTTTTCTTGAGTTCTCACCAAAAATTCCTATTGTTATTTTAATGGGAACTGACACAAATGAACAGGTAACTGTGGCAAAAGGTAACCTTAAAAGTACAGTAGTAAGTTATTCAGGCCAGGAACAAGGCAGTTAGAATGAGAACCAAAGGTCCCAGGATACGGTCCACCTGGTGCCTGGCCATGCAAACGTGTGGCAGGGCAGAAGTGGTGTGGTTATGTCCCAGCCATAGACTGGAAACCACGTGCCAATCAGACCCAGGTCACATCTGGGGACACAAAAGGGTGGATAGGAGTTTCTTTGTGGGGGTAGATTTTCATTCTTAACCTCGCTCCCGTATCTGATTTTTTAAACGAACAGAGTATTTCATCAACTGAGTACTATGACAACAATTAGTATTAGCTGGATGGTCCCGGGCTCAAACCCTGGGGCCACTGCATACCAGGTGTGGGCTTTGACATGGCCCTGTGTAAGCTTCTCAGCTTTCCTGAGTGTGATTTCCACAGCTGTAAATGGGTCCAGGGCCTAAGAGAGCACCACCAAGGCGGCTAGGAAGACAAATGCAAGTTCCAGGAAAGTGCTCAGAAACAGCAGGGCCACCCCAAAACCCATGCTCAGATACCCACCTAACAAACGCATGGTGCTACCAGTCACTCTCCTGGGGACACCCACCTGGCTAATGACATGAAGGGGCCTGGGGTCAGGGTAGGGAGGTGGCCCCATGGGCACGTTGCTTCCCCAGAGTAAAGGGGCTCAGCTTGGCCAGGCATGGTGGCTCACACCTGTAATCCCAGCACTTTGGGAGGCTGAGGCTGGTGGATCACCTGTGTTCAGGAGTTTAAGACCAGCCTGTCCAACATGGCGAAACCCCATCTCTATGAAAAAAATACAAAAATTAGCCGGGTGAGGTTGTAGATACCTATAATCCCACCTACTAGAGAGACTAAGGCAGGAAAATCCCTTGAACCTGGGAGGAGAAGGTTGCAGAGAACCAAGATCATGCCACTTCACTCCAGCCTAGGTGACAGAATGTGACTCTGTCTCAAAAAAATAAATAAAAAATAAAGGGGCTCAGCTCTGAAGAACTACCCTCTGGTCACTGGGGCCCAGCCCTCTGGGAGGGTTTCCTGAACAAACTCAACACTCCCGCTACTCTGTGGATGCTGCCTTCCACCTGCGCATGGGTCTGGTCGGCCTCCCGGCGCTTGAACTGGTGGCTGAGCAGCAGGGCGCGCAGCTGGCGGTTCTGGTGCTTGATGTAGTACTCCACGGCTGCCTGGCATGGCCGGCACAGCTTGTACATCTGCTCTAGGTGGTGCCGGTACACCTCGATCTCCTCGTCGTACCTGCCCTGCAGGGAGCGGGGGGAACAAGCTCACATCTGCAGGGGTGGCTGAGCTGCCTCTGCGTTACAGGTCAGACATGGAATCAGATCCTGACCTGCCACTTACTGGGGGGGTGACTGGGGACAAGTCAACCCCACTGTGAACCTACTTCCCCTCTGCCCAACAGGACAAATGCCCACTGTATATGGTCATATGGGCTACGGGGAGTGAGAGCCACTCCAGGGCAGGGCCCACAGGTGATGGGGACACTAACGAGGTTCTGTTGCTCCAGGGAGGCACCTGCAGGCCAGGACTCAGGGCCTGCTCCCCACACGCAGACCTCCAGGAAGCTGGGTGAAGGTAGGGGAAGGTAGCTGCGGGCTGACACCGCCTGGACTCGGACTGACAGAGCCCCCAGCCAGGCCTGCTGCTTTGGAGGTTTCTTTCAGCTTCCAGAATAGCTCAGAAGACAGGTCTCCTTCCTCTCTCCCCTCAGACACAGAGCAATGCACCTCTCCCTCTCTGTTTCTGAGGGAGAAAATGCTTTGGCCTACAGTGCCGAGAGGTCATAAGTGTGATTTCTTGCTGGGATCAAGCATGCTGAAAAGCTGCCTGGCTGCCAAGTCAGCCCTGCCTTCCCCTCCCGCAGTTCCCCATCCCTGCCTCGGCCTGAGTTCATCTCTGTTCTCCCTCCCTCCCAGGCTGGACCCCAAAGAGCCTGTATCTCTAGGCCCCAGCTGGGACCTGCCTCTTGTGGTGCCAGGACCCCTTGGGATGGCCGAGGGCAGGCAGAAGCAGCCAGAAAGCAAGGCTCCTGGATGCCACGGTGGGCACAGGCGAGGCAAGGCTCCCAGCTCGGCCCACCTCCCAATGCCAAGCCTCTCAGCAGTGTCTAGCTTCCTCTTCCTCCTCCCAGAAGCCAGAGGCACCCTCCACCAACCCCACAGCAGACTGTCGGGGTCGCCAGCAGGCAAGGCTAATGCAGAGAATCAGGACAGGGTGGGTCCAACGGGGCCCCACCTGGAGCCCAAGGCCCCTTCTTCCCACTGCCCAGGGACAAATTCCTCTGGCCTGGCAGGTGCTGAGGTTTCCACAGTGTTCCTAGGCTTGGAACCCAGACAGCAGTGACCATTAGACACGGAGAGAAGCAGCTCAGCTCCAGTGGGGACAGCAGAACTCACACACCCTGGAATGTGCTGGCAGCGGTCAGGATGAGGGGGCCCTTTGGGCACACAGGACAGAAAAGCCGCTGTCTGGCAGAGCAGGGGCCAGAGGCCCAGAGCCAGCACCTGACATGTGCTTGTCCCCCGCTGCTCTAAGTATCCCCAGCCCCAGCCAGGGCCGCTCTCATCCCAACCCAGCCTCACCTCCTCGCGGGGAGCAAAGGCAGCCAGCTGCTTGATCTTGGTGGTCTGGTGGTGGTTGCACCTCTTGCACAGCAGGACCTGGCTGCTCACCCACTGCTGCGGCTGCGAGGGGTCGCGTAGGCTGGGTGCGCTGCTTACCACGTGGTTCAGGTGCTCCATGTACTGGGCGGGGATTGGCTTGTTGTAGTCGCCGTTCTGCAGGAGAGAGGTGGACTCGTGGTCAGCGGGGAGCCCCACTGGGTGGGGCAGGCCTTCCCAGCTGGCTCAGGCCTGGTGATGTCCCTAGTGGGCCGCTCCAGCCAGGTGGTAGTGGATCTCACACATCTCCATTCTTTTCGTTTTGCACAGAACAGCAGCTGGTTTTCTTCTCACGACATCTCCATGAAACCCGAAGGTCCAGTGAAGCCACCTAGCCAAGCACAGTGCAGGGCCTCCAGCCCTGCCACCCACCCACACACTCTAGCCAGCATGAGTCCTCAGAGACCTACCCTCTCAGAACTCAGTCTGCAAACCCTGGTTTGCTCCAGGGGACAACATACTGTGACCGGTGGACCAGCTGCCTGTTTCTGCCATCAAGGTTTATTGGGACACAGCCAGGCTAATTTACTCTTGTGTTATCTACAGTGGCTTGACAGGGTTAGCAGTTGTGACAGAGACCAAATGGCTTGCAAAACTTAAAATCCTATCTGGCCCTTTGCAGAAAAGGTTTGTTAGCCCTGATCTAGTACAGAGAATGAGATGCAGAGCCAGAAAGATCTGGGTGTGAACCCCTTATCTGCCTGCGTTGGTTTCCTCCTCAAGTGAGGGCGCAGCGCCAAGGCAGTGGTGAGAATCCAGCAAGACAAAGTACATAAAACACCATGCTCAGGGCCTGCTAGCCCCAGGGCAGGGCAGGGAAAGAGGGTGGCCTCAAGGTGCAAATCTCAGGATCCCCCACTGCCACATGCCCACCCACCCACCCACCTGGCCCCACGCCTCCTGGACCCCCACCCCCGCATGCCTGCCCGCCTGCCTGGCCCCACACCTCCTGGAAGCCGTTGTACTGCTCGCAGTGGGGGCAGTCCCAGCAGTTGCGGTTCCCATAGGGCACCAGCGTGTCCTGGTTGCAAAACCAGCAGTTGACCATCGTGTGCGTTGGCTTCATCCTGTGGACCAAGGAAAGAGCGGGTCGGCCTGGAAGACCCCAGCACCTGCTGGAGGGGACCTCCATGCCCTGCCCCAGGGCCACCAGGGAAAGGGTGCCGGGAGTGGGATCTGGGGATGCAAAGCTGGAGATATGGGCCCCAGGCCAGCAGGAGGAACAAGGGCTCTGAGGCAGACGAACGCAGACTGGATGCAGCTGCGTCCACCGAGGAGGCCAGGCCAACTTGGGCTTCTCAGTCTTCAAGGGGAGGAGGCCAGCTGGAGCCTCACCAGATCCCCAGACACCAGTGTGGCCTGGGGCTCACACATGGAGAGCAATATGGGCCAGGATCCACCAGGCCACAGGGCTGACTGGGACCAGGCTCTAGGACCACCCCTCCCCCGTAAGGTCCCCGATCCTGGGCTGCAGAAAGAGTACACTCCAAGGAGCTTCCAGATTGAAAGGGGCCTCCTGTGCTCAAGAGAGAGAGAGGAGAGAGAGAGAGAGAGAGAGAGAGAGAGAGAGAGAGACACACACACACACACACACACACACACACACACACACACAGACTGAGTCCCAGGGTGTGAGAGCGAAGGAGACTGAGGGGAGGGAGCAAGTGACAGCCGCCCAGGTTGGGGCCAAACCTCTCTGGTGGAGGGAACAGTGGCCCTTGCTGGCCACAGGTGTGGTGACAGGTGGGGCCTCGAGATAATCCCAGCCCAGACACTGGGGGATCCATGCTCTGGGCTCCCTTCTACCCACCTCACTGCCTGTGGAACACTGGGGGGCTGGAGAGGGGTAGGAAGAGAGACCACCACTGCCCAAAAAACTCCTCCAGTTCCAGGAATCCAGAAACAATGTGGGGGACAGGCAGCAGCTGTGGGAGCTCTGGGGCCCTGGCCTTTCCACTCCTAATCCCCATCTCTCCCCCAGAAGCCGCTTCCAGCTTGAGGGCAATGCCTGGGCCCCTGCCAGAGTGGGCAGCCTCTCCCTGCACATTTGGACCCCCTATCCACAGGACCAGAAAGCACGACCCTCTGGCCTTTCATCCTGAGGCGCTGCTCAGAGAAAGGAGGACGGAGCCCCAGGAGGTTCCTGCGCTCTCAGCCTCAGTGCCCACATCTGGGAAGTGGGGGCAATCACAGCACCCCCGGCTTCTGCATGCTGCAAGGATGCAGTGATGTAAGACAGAAAGGTGCATTCTGCAAAGAGCCAGCTCTTCAGGGGCTTGGAAGGGAGGCTAGGCCCTGGGAAGAAGGGCTCCTGCTTCTGACACCACTTCGGCTGCCTGCTGTCCCCTCCACCTGCTTCTCCTGACCAGGGGCAGATTAAGGGAGGCTCTGATCACCTTTTAGTTGGGGAAGAAAGCAACTCCCTCATGAGGGACTGCTCATGGGACAAACTTAACAGTGCCTGGCCTAGAGTAATACCCAAAAAAGCCTAGTTACATGGAGGGTGGGGAAGCTTGGGAGAGAAGGGGAGCTGGGACTAGGCCCTGCCAGGAAGGCCCAGGGCCCAAAAGGGCAGTTGGCATCTCCCCAGCAGCCTCAGCCCACACCCTTCTGACCCCACACCTCCTGCCCCAGCACAGGCCCAAGCCCTCACAGTGCACAGGGACTGCTGCATCTTGTCAACAGCATGGAGACAGTAGGCGAGGCCTGTGGTCCAGCGACAAAACAGAGCCAGCCTGCTAGGCACGGCACCAGACAAGGCCTTGGAGAGCGGCTCTGCCTCCTGGGGCCACCGTCTCATCCCTCACCTGTCTAAGGGACCTGCTAAGCATCCCTGCCCCAGGAGAGGCCACTGTGAGGATGCCATGAGAGAAAGCAGGGAGGCCCTCAGGGCTTGGCATTAGGACAGCGCCACTGGGTGCTGAGTACACAAGCAGCCAGCACAGGAGCCCTGCTCTGGGGCGGGCACAGGGCTGCTTGGCTGTGAGCTCAAATAGCATTCCCGGCAACTAAGCGAGTGGTTTGCTCTGTGCTCATTACCTGTTTCACAGGCTTCTTTGTATCTGTGCACGGGTGTGTATACTGATGGGTGATGACCTGCTTACTGACCCCCCACCCCAGAGCCCAGTACCAGGACAAGGCTCTGCACTCAACTGCCTTCGGGTGATGGGCCTCCTATACCCACGAAGGGCGCCTCAGCTCTCTTACTCTGTTTGAAAAGTTAGGTCAGCCGGGCGCAGTGGCTCAAGCCTGTAATCCCAGCACTTTGGGAGGCCGAGGCGGGTGGATCACGAGGTCAAGAGATTGAGACCATCCTGGTCAACATGGTGAAACCCTGTCTCTACTAAAAATACAAAAAATTAGCTGGGCATGGTGGCGCGTGCCTGTAATCCCAGCTACTCAGGAGGCTGAGGCAGGAGAATTGCATGAACCCAGGAGGCGGAGGCTGCAGTGAGCCGAGATCGCGCCATTGCACTCCAGCCTGGGTAACGAGAGCAAAACTCCGTCTCAAAAAAAAAAAAAAAGAAAAAGAAAAGTTAGGTTAGACCTTGAGCCTGCGTGGAAGACCAATGACAGCTGAGCAGGGACTGTGGCTTTGCTCCAGGGTGCCTGCCACGAAGCCCCGCCCACCCCAGGAAGTCATGTTTCCACTCAGAATCCCCAGCTTTGTTGCTAGGGAAATGGCTCCACTCATCTAGAATGAGCCAGCCTGGAAGTGGAGGGGGAGGCAAGGGATTAGCTCTTGTCCCTGGGGCCAGTGGCTCCAGCTCCTGTCACTCTCAGCCCTTGGTAATCCCTGCCAGAGTTGGGGCTGGGTTCTCTCGGGGCCAGAGCAGCTGCCGACCACTTTCATCAGGTGGGCCCTACCTGCCATGGGGTCCTCTCCCATGGTGCCTTTGCGGGGGAGCCCTGAAAGTTCCCGAGAGGCAGGTAGGGAGGGGTTGACGGGGAGCTGGGCATGAATTACAGGCCCCCCCCCAGTGCCAGCGCAGTGGCTTCAGACACGTGACTGAATGTGAAACACTGTCCATGGCTCGAACAAGGTCCTCACGCAGGTGGGGGCAGTTCTAGCCTCTGGCCTCTGCCAAGCCTGCTGAGGCAGCATCTGGGCCAATCTCTTCTGAGCCAGCCTAGGCTGGGCCCTGCTTTTGCTCTGGGAGATGCCCCCAAGTTTCCCTGAAAAATCCTCAGCCCACTTCTCTTCTGCAAGCCAGCAGACTCCGTCCTTAACTTGACTCTAGGACAAACCATAGTTGGTGGACAAGGTTTAAGGTGACATGACAGAATGTCCCTGCAATACAAGAAAGAGAGGAACTCGGGCCGGGAGGGGCTGCCCCTGCCCACAACAGTCCCAGCTCTAGGGGTACAGCAGCTGAGCCTATGGGTCCCATTGGGTGGGCAGACATGAGGGCCTGGAGGCCACTCTCCCAGCTCCTGCTAGCTTGATGTTGAGCCCCTGGGGAGCCTGAGGTCACCCCAGGGGAGATGGGCCCCTCAGAAAAAGCCAGGGCAGCTGCATGCTCTGTACCCGCCCTGTCCACAAGCCCAGCACACACACTGAGGGTAAACAAGATGGGCATGTGCCCCTAATGATGACACCACTCCTGAGCCTAGGCAAATATTAAAACAAAGCTCCTGGCCAGGCGCGGTGGCTCAAGCCTGTAATCCCAGCACTTTGGGAGGCTGAGGCTGGTGGATCACAAGGTCAAGATATCGAAACCATCCTGGTCAACATGGTGAAACCCCGTCTCTACTAAAAATACAAAAAATTAGCAGGGCATGGTGGCGTGTGCCTGTAATCCCAGCTACTCAGGCGGCTGAAGCAGGAGAATTGCCTGAACCCAGGAGGCGGAAGTTGCAGTGAGCTGAGATCTCACCATTGCACTCCAGCCTGGGTAACAAGAGCGAAACTCCGTCTCAAAAAAATAAACAAAGCTCCTGCACGACACCTCACTATTCCCTGCAGGTGGGAGGGGCTCTGTTCTAGGTGTGAGCCTAGCACTGGGTCCTCAGCCTAGGAACATGTCAGGAATCAGACACTTGCTGGAAGTGGCACTGGACGGGGCTTGGTCCCTGCCCTGGGGAGCTCAGTGGCTGTAGCAGGCTAGGCATCTCCCAGAGTTTCTGCCAAGCCATGAGAAATCACAGCCTCCTCAGACAGGGGCCCAGTGCATTGCTTGGGACCTTGGATACTGTGTGCTGGCCCCAGTGGGGGTGGAAAGACTGAGAGTCAGGTTCCTGCAGGGACCCAGGGAGCCAGAGGCCAGCCTCCCACAAGGACATCCCAGGACAGCTTCCCAGGCAGCTCCTTGCCTGCATTCCTGCTTAGGTGGGCAACGCCATGTCTCACTGAACCAGAAGAACCTGAGAAGGGGCCTTCTGGGCTTCAGCAACAACAGCATCAAAATGCAATTCAGAACGCTGCACTGCCAGGCCTGCAGCCTGTCTCCAAGCAAAACACACTTAAATCCACAGCAGTAACTCCAACACCAAGATGGAAAATGCCCCAAATCCACCCTTCTGGGGAACAGACCCCAGTCTGGTGCGAGTGGAACGGCCCATCAGTTTAGCAAGCACCACGCTAGGCTGGCAGAGATGCAACATGAGCAAGGCAAGAGCGACGACCTCACAGGGCAGCTGGTGACAGATGCCACAGGACAGAGGCCAATAATCGGTGCATCTGTTGTCGCCCCAAAGCACAGCTGTGCTCACCAGCAGGACAAACAGCAGTGGGAGGGGACCACCCAATGTGTGCGCAGGGTGCAGTGGTTGCTCAGGGAGAATGTGCCGCAGCAGGAGAGTGAGTGGGAGGGGTGAGCCTGGAAACAGGAGGAGCCGTTACAGGGGACTCTGACTTCAGAATGAGGCTCTGCTGCATATCCTCTGGGAGGTTGCATCCTCTTTGTCCCCAAACACTAGAAAGGAGACAATCCTAGTAAACACCAACAAAGCCCCAGAGGGATGGTGGTATGTGCAGGGATGTGCTGGCAGGGCACGGATCCTGGGCATTGTTTGAAGAGGGCTGAGGACAGACACCGGAGCAGCAGTGTCCAGGTGACAGGGAGGCCTAGGAAGCCACAGCCTTCACAATGGCCTGGACACAGGGAAGTGGAACTGGGGCGTCTGCCCTGTGACTGTGCTGACCCTGGTGGCTTCCCATGGGTGCAGAGAAGCAGTCAAGGTGCTCTGTGAGCCCCCGGAGCGGGAAGCTGGGCTGACAAGTTCTGGTGTGAGGCAGGGCCCTACCATTTGACAGCCAGATGATGTGGGGCTGGTAGCCCAATCTCCTCAAGCTTTGGCTTCCTCATCTGTAAAATGGGAGAACAGTAGGGCATGCCCTGGCGGTTTCATGAGAAGACAGTGTGCGGTGCTTACAGCTGTCATCAGCTGCTCCCATCGGAAACAATCACGGGGGTGAGAGGACTCCATTCGTGGGGGAGCCAAGGTGGGCCCTGACTGAGGCTGTGGGAGGACTCAGTCCTTCAGAGAAGCGGCCTCCTTCCCAGGCGCCCCTGCCAGTCCTAAAGCACAAGGAGGGGCTGACCTGCCGGCTCCTTCTACACCCTCCTCTCTGCCATCTCTATGCTGAGCCTGCAAACACCCACCCAGCCAAGTCGCCTTCCAAAAACAACTCTCCTTACAAGCCTTCCCAAGGGTCATTCAAAACCCACACTGCAGCCAGAGTCCATGCTTCTTTCCTGGCTGTCACGGCACTCTCCTCCTCAGAGGGAGGAAGGCTCAGTCTCTTGCTAGGCTAGTGTGGCTTCTGAATCATGACAGTGGCCAATTTATGACTGCCAGGCGAAATGCAGTGTTCTGTAAGGACATCTTAAAGCCTCCTGGGAAGGGCTGGCCTTTCTCAACCCAATCCACAGCAAGGGTCCCAGCATCACACCATGACCCACTGGTGTCATCAGGGTTGTGAAAGCACTTCCTGGCACCCTCCTAACTCCCCTGGCACCAGCTAGCCCAATACTTCTCCAAGGCCCCATACTCTTGTTCCCAGGAGATGGAAAGCTGCAGCCAGCAGGGCAGGAAGGGGAGACAGGACCCCTGAGGATGGCTGCAGTGTCCAGCCTCAATAAACACAATGGAGGTGCTGTTTGGCTGGGAGGCCACACCCTCACCCAGGCTCTGATCATTGGGGCAACATCCCCCATCCTGGGTTAGCTGAGAGGTGGCATCGTCCAGGAAAACACCGGGTGCTGGACCAGCTCAGCTGCCAACATGCTCTGGGAATCTGAGCAAATCACCTGAGGTCTATGGACCTCAGTCCCCTGGGTATAAAACCACCAGCTTGGACCAGCTCATCCTGCAGATGTTCAGCTTCCAGAAAACCAGGAGAAACTGACATAGAGAGACTTGGGTTGTCAAGGACCCATGGGCTGCGGTCCCTCAACCCCCACCTACCCTTCTCAGTTACATCTGGCCTATCCACCAGGCACAGCTGATGTCCTTCCCTTCCCTTTCTCCTCTGGGAAGCCTGTGACTCAACCACCTGCAATTTTTTCCCCCTGCTTTCCCCCTGGAGGAGAGAAGCAGCACCGGTTATGGGTTAAGGAAGAACACACAGACCAGCCAGACTGTCAGGGTTCAAATCTCAGCTCTGCCACTTGCTGCTGAGTGGGCAAGTCCCTTCACCCCTTCTTTCTAGGATGCTCTCAACCCCAATTTCCCCCTGCCCTCTGGAATGGTGGATCAAGTGGAGAGACAGTAAGCTACCAGCAAGGCTCTGCTGAAGCAAGAGGCCACGAAGCTTTTATCCCTGGCGATGGAGGCCAATGAAAGAGGCCAGATCTGGGCAGGTACGGTGGCTCATGCCTGTAAATTCTAGTACTTTGGGAGCAGGAAGTAGGCGGATCACCTGAGGTCAGGAGTTCGAGACCAGCCCGGCTAACATGGTGAAACCCCGTTTCTACTAAAAATACAGAAAATTAGCCGGGTGTGGTGGCACATGCCTGTAATCCCAGATATTTGGGAGGCTGAGGCAGGAGAATCGCTTGAACCCGGGAGGCGGAGGTTGCAGTGAGCCGAGATCGCGCCATTGCACTCCAGCTTGGTCAACAAGAGCGAAACTCTGTCTCAAAACAAAATAATAATAAAAAATAAGAGGCCAGATCTGAACACAGGGACCTGCATGACCCGTGAGCCGGGCAGGGATGAGGGTGGCCCCGGACCCTCTTGAACGGCTTTGAAGCATCTCAGGCCTTGACCACCTCTGGGAGGCGGCCCAGCTTAGGGATCTACCCTACAGGCTCCATCGGCTCAAACCATGATTCCTTTCATTAATGTCAATTTACTCAGCCTCCCTGTCCCTCAGCTGCTCTAGGGGAAGCAGGGGCTGCGGCTCTGAAACGCGCGGATGTGAGGTGTGTAGGAAAACACCCGGGACGTCACATGCAGAGCGGCAAGCGCCAGCCGCGATCGCTACATCGCGGTGTAGCAGGGCCTGGCGTGGGGCTGAGGGTAGGGGCGGCCCGCGCGCACCCGCTCCAACCCCGCGCGGCTCCCGGAGGAAGTTTGTGGCCCCCGCGCCGCGCTCCCGCCCGCACCTCACGTTCCTGGAGTCCTCGCCCCGCCCCCGACTCCGCAACCGCTTTCTGACCGCAGTCCCAACCATGTCTTGGGGGCCGGCGGCGCGCGCCGGGGGTCTCCGCGCGCCCGCGAGCAGGCCGGGTCCCCGCCGAGGCGGGCAGCGGGCCGGGGCGGCGCGAGGGCGGGCCCGGCAGGCGGCGCCGAGGGCCGCGTGGGGCCGAGCCGTGCACTCACCTCCGCGCGATCCGGTAGAGAAGCACGCCGGCCGCGGCGCACGCCGTGACCCCCAGGCCGCCGGCCAGGCCGGCCGTGGGGCAGCGGGCCAGCAGCGCGCTCACTCCCTCCATGGCTCCCCGCACGGAAGGACGGCAGGCGGGCGGACGGACGGCGGCGACGCCGTGGGCACGGGCCGCAGGCGGGACGCGGGGCGGCGGCGCGCGCCTCCTCACGCCGTGACCTTCGCCGCTTTGTAGCGGGCGCGGGTCCGCCCCCTGACTCGGCGCGCTCCCGCCGCGCAGCCAATCGGGACGCGGAATGAGCCTGGGTGGGCGGGGCGGCGGCGGCAGCGACAGCACCTGCCCAGGAGCGCCCCCACACGGCCGGAGGTGGAAGGCGGTCCGGGGAGGGCGGGGCGCGGAGCTCGGCGGGAAAGCCACGCCCTCTGCCTCCCGCGTCGGCCGCCAGGCAGGGAGGTCCGGCGTCCGAAAGTCCACCGACCTTCTGCCAAGGGGAGATTTCCAGCGTACGCAACTGCTTGTAATGAGTCTTTTCCCCCCTCGCTAATCCTGTCTAGCCAAACCAGCCTATGCGCCCAGTGCTATTAAGCTGCTCCAAAGGTTGAAAAACTAGCTTTTTAGGAACACGATAGTCCACGGATAGGGATGTGGTTGAATAAATCATAGAATAGCTATACTTCGGAACATAATGCAACCATTGGAAAGAATGCCAGACCTGGAGTTACTGGCATAGATGGACGATACATTTTTTTTAAAAAGCAACATGCTATGTAATAGTAATAGTAAATTACTAATTATTCTGAGAATAAAAGCAACATGCAGGTGGAGAGCAGTGGCTCACAATACTAATTCCAGCACTTTGGGAGGCTGAGTGGGCAGATCACCTGAGGTCAGAAGTTCAAGACCAGCCTATGCAACGTGGTGAAATCCCATTTCTACTGAAAATACAAAAATTAGCTGGGCGTGGAGGTGTACGCTTGTAATCCTAGCTACTCGGGAGTCTGAGGCACGAGAATTGCTTGAACCTGAGAGGTGGAGGTTGCAATGAGTCGAGATCAGACCACTGCCCTCCAGCCTGGGTGACAGAGGGAGATTCAATTTTCTCGAAAAAACAAAAACGAGAACAAGAACAAAAAACATGCAGATTGATTTTTAAATAATATCCACAGCTGAATAAAGCTGTGTGTTTGTGTGAAGTGGAGAATGGGTAACGCTGAACTGCAAACTGATTAGCTGGTGGTGGGATATTTGAGAGGAAGTCACTGTTTCATTATCGATTTAAGCTAAATTACTAGCTTTTAAAAATTAAACAGAAAATATTTGTATCCAATTACACAATACGTTCCAGTGTTCTGACAGCTTTGTTTTATTGAGGTTAACAATGTAAACTCTTTGTGGGTGGTGATGGGTTGACGCCAATTTTTTTTTTTAACTCTTGCAGCCAGTTCATCTGTCCACACCCAAATCATGCACATGCAGTAGGTGGGAAGGACTGGAGTGAACCAGACAGGAAACCTGGAGGTTCACTTGGTCTGGAACTCCTCTTTCTTGTGAGTAACCCAGCAAAAGCCTTTCCATGTGGTCTTGGCTGCTTTCCCCAGCCATGAGCAAACAACCAAATGATCTAAGGTGTATCTTCCCTCAAAAGAGCAGGCATTGGGTTTAAGTACCATTTGCTGGCCGGGCACAGTGGCTCATGCCTGTTATCCCAGCACTTTGGGAGGCCAAGGCGGATAGATCACCTGAGGTCAGAAGTTTGAGACCAGCCTGATCAACAAGGTGAAACCCTGTCTCTACTAAAAATACAAAAATTAGCCAGGCATGGTGGCAGGGGCCTGTGGTCCCAGGCATTCAGGAGGCTGAGGCAGAATGGCTTGAACCCGGGAGGCGGAGGTTGCCGGGAGGCGGAGGTTGCCGTGAGCCGAGATCATGCCACTGCACTCCAGCCTGCACGACGGAGTGAGGCTTTGTATCAAAAAAAAAAAAAACCCAAAACAACAAAAACAAAAAAAAGGACCATTTGCTTCCCAAGGAAGACTTTGTTTGCATGTCCCACCCAAAGGAAGGACTGTGTAATCTATGTGGCCAATTCTGTTACATGCATTAGTTGAGGCACATCTTGATAGGCAACATCCTCTGTGGATCGGTAATTCTTAAGTAAATGGAATGGAAGTTTGCCAAATCTTGACTTTGGAGTCAGACCACTCCACAGGCTCAGATGCCCCTCTTGCTGTGTCATGCAGGTCAGAGTGCAGTGGCATGATCTCACCGCTCACTGTAGTCTCTATCTCCTGGGCTCAAGGAATCCCCCCATTTCAGCCTCCCAAGTAGCTGGGACTACAGGTGCATGCTCAGCTAATTTTTTTGTAAAGACAGGGTCTCCCTATGTTGCCCACGCTGGCCTTGAACTCCTGGCCTCAAGCAATTCTCCCACTTCAGCCTCCCAAAGTGCTGGAATGACAGGTGTGAGGTGGCTCACCTGAGATCTGAGGCAGACACATCACTTGAGATCAGGAGTTTGAGACCAGCCTGGCCAACATGGTGAAATCCCGTCTCTACTAAAAATACAAAAATTAGCTGAGTGTGTTGGCAGGTGCCTGTAATCCCAGTTACTTGGGAGGCTGAGACAGGAGAATCGTCTGAACTTGAGAGGTGAGCTGAAACTGTACCACTGCACCCCAGCCTGGGCCACAGAGCAAGGACTCGGTTTCAAAAAAAAAAAAAAAAAGAAAGGAAAACTTTTAATTTTAAAAATCTTTATATTAAAAAACAAGAGAAAGAAAAAAGCACAATAGGATGACTCCAGTCTGTAATATTTTTTTTAAGATGGAGTTTCACTCTTATCGCCCAAGCTGGAGTGCAGTGGTGCGATCTCCACCTCCCCGGTCCAAGCAATTCTCCTGCCTCAGCCCCCCAAATAACTGGGATTACAGGCACGTATCACCAGGCTAATTTTGTATTTTAAGTAGAGAAAGGGTTTCAGCATGTTGGTCAGGCTAGTCTCAAACTCCTGACCTTAGGTGATCCACCTGCCTCTGCCTCCCAAAGTGCTAAGATTACAAGTGTGAGCCACCATACCCAGCAGTCATTAATAAACTACTTTTTTTTTTTTTTTTTGAGACAGGGTCACTCCTGTCACCCAAGCTGGACTGCAATGGCGCCATCTCGGCTCACTGCAACTTCCATCTCCTGGGCTCAGGTCATTCTCCTGCCTCAGCCTCCGGAGTAGCTAAGACCACAGGTGTACACTATCGCACCCGGCTTTTTTAGTTTTAAAAATAAAGACAAGGTTTCAGCATGTTGCCAGGCTGGTTTCGAACTCCTGAGCACAAATGATCTGCCTGCCTCCCCCTTCCAAAGTGCTGGGATTATAGGTGTGAACCACCTAGCCAGACATTAACTGTACATTTCAAATTAACAGAGTGTAACTGGATTGCTTGCAACTCAATGGTTAAATGCTTGAAGAGATGGATACCTCATTCTTCATGATGTGCTTATTTCACGATGCATGCCCTATCAAAACATCTCACGTACACAATATACACCTCCTATATCCCCATACAAATTAAGAGAAAACCACAGATTATTTCCCATTTTTAAATTGAATGAGCCCCTTTAGAGAGAAAGCATCTTCTTTCCTACTTTGGGTGCTTAAGCAACTTGCATTTCAATGCCCTGGGATAGGAGAAGCAGAAACTAAAATTATAATAGGTCAGTACCAAATTTATTCATTCAAGAATGAGTGAAAAATGAAGCAATTTTACACCTTTATATTAAATCTTGAAAAACGTGTTTTAATATGGATATAGGAGGATGTTGCTAAGTGCCATCATCAAATATGAATATTAAAATAGGAATGTGAATATGAAAATAAGATGTCACTCTGTAATCCCAGTGCTTTGGGAGGCTGAGGCAGGCAGATCCCCAAAGGTCAGGAGTTTAAGACCAGCCTAGCTGACATAGTGAAACCCATCTCTACTAAAAGTATGAGTGTGGTGGTGCACGCCTGTCATCCTAGCTACTCGGGAGGCTAAGCTGGGAGAATTGCTTGAGACTGGGAGGCAGAGGCTGCAGTGAGCCGAGATTGCGCCACTGTACTCCAGGCCTGGAAGGGACAGAGTAAGACTCCATCTCAAACAACAACAATAAAAAAATCAAAAAGCTTCTGGGCCAGCTTGGTGGCTCACACCTGTAATCCCAATACTTTGGGAGGCCGAGATGGGTGGATCACCTGAGGTCAGGAATTCAAGATTGGCCTGATCGGCATGGAGAAACCCCATCTCTACTAAAAATACAAAATTAGCCAGGCATGGTGGTGCATGCCTGTAATTCCAGCTCCTTGGGAGGCTGAGGCAGGAGAATCACTCGAACCTCAGAGGCAGAGGTTGTGGTAAGCTGAGATCACACCATTGCACTCCAACCTGGGCAACAAGAGTGAAACTCTGTCACACACACCAAAAAAAAACCATCTGGAATAGCATTACTGTCATGCATTTTAGAAGCGCAGAAGCTTCACTAAAGTCACTCATTTTGACTTCTTCATAGTAGTTGGAGCAAATTACTAGAGTCAAGAACACCAGTTAATTTCCCCTAGGACTATATAAAGGTGAAAAGTAAACATAACTTGGAAATATCCTTTTAACCCCACTAGAGTGTTTGCAATTAAATCTGAAACTACAGTGCATAGGTATTAGAAATGAGTATCTTTCTAGACGTTCAGATTGAAAAACAACCTTCATGTACAATATATTTAAATTCCAGAGAAAGAACTAATGAAAGACTGTGGGATTTACTGGTCTTCTTAGTATCATCTTTTTGTTCCCTTATTAAATTTGCTTTAAATCCAAGGGGGTAACATCTGGTAATTTCTTTTTTGAATGTTGAATTAGGATATTTAAACAATCCCAGCACTATCAGAATCAAGGTGAGCTCTTCGGATGGGTGACCCAGAGTGCTGTGTTGTGCTCCTTTTCTACAAGAGCAGAGATCCGTCTGGGCACAGGGCTAAAGACCTCGCTGGGAATAACTGTTCTTCAACACATTCTGGATTCACAGCCAAATATGGCAGCAACGCTGTCTCACACTTAACAAGGTACCTGGTCTTAACTTCTGGAACTATATCCAGGAGGCCTGTGGGTCACTGATAAACAGTTCTTTAAAAAAATTCTTGCCTTTGGGCCAAGTGGATGGCACAGCTATACCAGCACTTAGGGAGGCTGAAATGGGCGGATCACCTGATGTCAGGAGTTCCAGACCAGCCTGACCAACATGGAGAAACCCCATCTCTACTAAAAAAAAAACAGAAAATTAGTTGAGTGTGGTGGCACATGCCTGCAATCCCAGCTGCTAGGGAGGCTGAGGTAGGAAAATAGTCTGAACCCAGGAGGCGGAGGTTTCAGTGAGCTGAGATCATGCCATTGCACTCCAGCCTGGGTGACAAGAGTGAAACTCCATCTCAAAAAAAAAAAAAAAAAAAAAAACACAACAAACCCTTGTCTTTGTTTCAAAGTAGGGAGAAGAGGATACTTCAGGCAATTTTTTATAGCTTATTTACTGTCAGAAAGTTATATATATTTGGCCGGGCACGGTGGCTCAGGCCTGTAATCCCAGCACTTTGGGAGGCCAAGGTGGGCAGATTACCTGTTGGTCAGGAGACCAACCAGCCTGACCAAGGTGGAGAAACCCTGTCTCTACGAAAAATATAAAATTAGCCAGGCCTGGTGGTGTATGCCTGTAATCCCACCTCCTTGGGAAGCTGAGGCAGGATAATCACTCGAACCTGGGAGGCAGAGGTTGTGGTGAGCTGAGATTGTGCCATTGCACTCCAGCCTGGGCAGCAAGAACAAAACTCAGTCTCAAAAAAAAAGAAAGATGAAAGGAAAGTTATATATATTCATCTCAGTAGTCTGGAAGCTTAGATGATCAATCTGCATGTAATTGGAAATGGACAAAGGAGACAAAATGCTGGAAAATTTGTCCTGGTCCATACACCATGATCACAATGTGACACTTTTTTTTTTTTTGAGATGCGGTCTCACTCTGTCACCCAGGCTGGAGTGAAGTGGTGTGATCTTGGCTCACTGCAACCTCTGCCCTCCCGGATTCAAGCAATTCTCCTGCCTCAGCCTCCCAAGTAGCTGGGATTACGGGCACTCACTACCACGCCTGGCTAGATTTTGTATTTTTAATGGAGACAGGGTTTCACCACATCGGCCAGGCTGGTCTTAAACTCCCGACCTCAGGTGATCCACCCACCTTGGCTCCCAAAGTACTAGAATTACCAGCATGAGCCACCACACCCGGCCAAAATGTGATACTTCTTCCCTGTCTAGCAGTATAAGATCTTAAAGTCAGTTTATCAAACAAATTGTATTCTGACTTTATCATTTTTCTCTGCATTTCTAGGGCATGTTTCTCTGAACTTCTCAAACCCTTCATGGTACAGTAAGCATAAAAGAGGACGCAAGCCGGATGCACACTTAACTTAAACAGCATGATTTAATTTAGCTGCTGCTTAACCCTGAATCCTCTTAAGTTAAAAAAAAAGTTATAATTAACTATTAACGTTAATGAATTTAAACCTTCCAGAAAGCATGAATCCAAAAGGAAATGTCCAACAGGTGACATGAGCCAGATATTTTATGGCCTTTGCTGTTTCAGTCTCAATCATTCTAAACATCAATGGGGAAAAAAAATCTCTAGAGTTTTTCAGTTTTATTCTTCTAGAGCACAATTTTCTGGCCTGTTACTGAGTACGGTCTTCTAACAGGTACACAATTAACTCATAAGTAGACAACACAATGGCAGTATTTGGGATCTGCCGGATGAGCTGGGCAAAGAGTCCTCTATAAAAGGCGAGGTAGCCTTCTTCCCGGAACACCAGGCGCGCCGTCTGGACAAAGGACTTGTACTTGGTGCCCTCCTCCCGGAGCCTCGTCCTTATGACTTCTGCAGAGAGAGAAAGACCTATTTTACACCAGATATTAAGTGGGGAAAGAACCCACAACACACAGCTTTAAAACTGTCAAGGTTAGGCTGGGTGCAGTGGCTCACGCCTGTAATCCCAGAACTTTGGGAGGCAGACGTGGGCAGATCACTTGAGCCCAGGTGCTGGAGACCAGCCTGGCCAACATGGTGAAACCCCATCTCTACTAAAAATACAAAAATTAGCAGGGTGTGGTGGTGCACACCTACTATTAGAGTGGCTGAGGAATGAGGATCACTTGAACTGGGGAGGTGGAGGCTGCAGTGAGCCGGGATCACATCATTGCATGCTAGCCTGAGCCTCAGAGCAAGCAAGGCTCTGTCTCAAAAAATAAACTGTCAAGTTTACAACTATATCTATTTCCCATCTCAGCTGTATTTGGACAGAAGAGTCACATACCTAGAGAGACAATAAAAAATTATTTTTAGAACCTTTTCCAGCTCTAGGATTTGGTCAACTATGGATGCTTACATATACACAAAAGTGCAAAATAACTTTTTTTTTTTTTTTGAGGCAGAATCTTGCTCTTTCACCCAGGCTGGAGTGCAATGGTGCAATCTCGGCTCACTGCAACCTCTGCCTCCAGGGTTAAAGTGATCCTCTTGCCTCAGCCTCCCCAATAACTGGGATTATAGGCACCCACCATCACACCCGGTTAATTTTTGTATTTTCAGTAGACACGAGGTTTCACCATGTTGGCCAGGCTAGTTTTGAACTCCTGATCTCAGATGATCTGCCCACCTTGGCCTCCCAAAGTTCTGGGATTACAGCAAAATAACTTTTAAGAGGTTAAAAAAAAAGCTTAGTTTGAATGGGACTTAATGTTACTCCCAATTAACCAAGTGCTAATTTCTCTGAAGGTGTAATTTGCATGAAGTATGCAGTATATTCAGCAAATTCTTTTCATACACTTTTCAGTTTTCTCCTCCTCCTGCAAACCTGTTCTACTCTGTCCAACTCAAAAGCCACCCTCTCCTTTTGCCAGCCTTTGCCCATCTGGCCGGCCCTCCCTCCCAGGCGCCCACAGTCGGACATTCATCACTCCTGCCGTCACATGGACCTCAGGCCCTGGGAGGCATCAGGGACCTCTTTTCTCAGGTGTCCTTTGGGGTCAGCTTAGTGCTCCAGCACACGAGGGAGATTCAGCACCTGTTACTGAGTTGACCATGTGCATTTGTCATAGCTGACAGCACAGTAAGTTTATGAAAATAAACCTGTTTTTCATTGCACAATAAGCTAAGCATTTTAAAAAAATAAGTAGGTCAGTAGGTCAACAATTCTATAACTTAATAAACTTACCCAAAGTAGCCTTACTTAAGGTTCCATTAAAAGTGGAGGCTGAGTGATTTTTAAGTTTGGCTCCCATATTATTTTGATTCAAGCAATATTAAATAAAATCCAGATTTTTAGCTTCTTTGAAAACAGCAGAAGTTCAGCAACCCAGGGTCTACATTTCTGAACAGCAAGTTTTGGCCACAACCAGCTGGAGGTAAGTTCAAGTCCCCCTACCCCGCAACATGACCTACATCCATGAGGTTAGTGCCCGTTTCCCTCATACTCACTGACCTAACCTGCAGGGACCTTGTGCTTCAACGTGCGCCACGGAGGTCTAGATATACCCACAAATGACAACCCTGACAGCTGTTTTACTGTTCTGGAAGAACAAAAGCAACACGTACCATGTGGATAAGCAATGCAGGAGGCACAGCCCTTAGAAAGAGCAGCAGCTGCCATAAGTCCAAAAAAACCTGTGGAATTTTTCTCAGTCCCATTTGCAGAAGAGGCTAATGGAGCTTCTTTCAGATACTTCTTTAAACTTTCATAAATAGCAAAGCAGATTATCGTTTCGGAAATTCCAGCATATGAGGCAGTTAATCCTCTATAGAAGCCACGAATGCCTTCGGTCCGGTAAACATAACGAGCACACTGGAGTGTATTCATCTGCTTAGAGCCCCTCACTCTGCGTAAAAGAGACCGGCATAGGCTGTTAAGGAGTCATATCATGGTGGAATACACAGAGACATCACACAGTAGGTGGGTCTTCCTGGTGGTGTTAGGATTGATACTGGTTTTCCTCTCCATTCCTGACCCCTAATTCCCATAGCCCTTGCCTTTTGTTATAATGTGGGGTGTGTGAGGCCTCAGGGGCAGCCTCTGAGAGTCCCTTGTCCTCCTTTCACCTGCCCCAAGGTCATTCTCTAATGTCCCTACACCTTTCTGATTGTTGGTCTTACTCCATGGAGTCCCCTCCTATCCCCTGGGGGAAGGAATGCTGCTGGCATGAAGCTCCCATAAAAACCCAAGCGGACAGGTTTCAGGGAGCTTCCAGAGCTGATCCAGTGGAGGCTCCTGGAGGGTGGCCCCCAGGGAGGGTATGAAAGTTCCCTGTCCCTTACTCTGTACCTGTCCCTACCTGTCTCTTCTTCTGTATCTTTGCAATGTCCTTTATAACCAACCAGTCAACTTTAAGTGTTTCCCTGGGTTCTGTGAGCCACTCCAGCAAATTAATAGAACCCAAAGAGAGGGTCATGGGAACCCCAACTTGAAGCTGGTTGTTCAGTTCTGGAGGCCCAGACATGCAACTGGTGTGTGGGTGGGTGAGGGTGGGCAGTCCTGGAGACTGAGCCCCCCAAACTGTGGAATCTGACGCTATCTCCAGGTAGACAATGTTGGAACTGAACAAAAGGACATCCAGCTGGTGTCCGCTGCTTGTGTGTGGGGGAAAAAAAACCCCTGCACATTTGGTCACAGAGGTCATCTTCTGGGTCAGTGACTGTTGGGGTGTGACAGTGGAGGAAAAACATGGTTTGAGCAGTTTTTCCCACTTATCTTTGTACTGCTGTCAGCTGATCCTCAGCCCACTGTGAGGCCAGACCAATTAGCTGGGACACCTGACAGGCCCACAGAATACTAGCTACATCTGTATCAAGAGTCATAGAAACATGTTCATAAAATCATTAGCATTTGACCTAATTTTAGAAAGAGCTGCAGGGAGCAGTAAGACTCATCACAGAGGACCTACAAATGCAAAACAGTTAGAACAATCCAGAAAGCCGATCGTGACATATCTGCTAGATTAACAGTCACGAGCCATGACATGCGGGCAATGCTTTCAGTGGAATACAGGACTAAGTTAAAGGTAAAGGACGATCGCAAGAGCCAGGTGCAGTGGCTCACATCTATAATCCCAGCACTTTGGGAGGCCGAGGTAGGAGGACTGCTTGAGGCCAGGAATTCAAGACCAGCCTGGCCAATGTAGTGAGTCCCCATCTCTGGAAAAAAAAAAATAGTAAGAAAGAAAAATGGGAACATTCCAACCTGTTGGTGAGGCTTCTCATTAGATTTCTGACAGCACTCATCTCCAAATAGTGTGTTTTAATTCTATTATTGCTAAATTTATAAAATTAGTGAATGAAAACCCTCAGGTACAGAGGCTCCTACCCCAGGACATAAACTATTTATGAACTGCGACCACAAGGCAGGGAGTAGGCCACTGGATGAGTGTAGTTAGGTGTGCACCGGTCACACGTCACAGGCCCCTCCCAGGAGGCGAAGACCTGAGGCCCCCTTTGGGCTTCAGTCAGTCTCAGCTGGCCTCTGTCCCTTCTTTATCATCTCCCCATAGACTGTTCCCCGTTCCTTAGCCACAGTGACCTTTGTAACATAAATCCAACCGTGCAACTCCTGTGCTCAAAACCACGCAAAATTTCTTCTTCATGGCACTATTCACATTTATGGCTAGACCATTCAGTTAGGGGAGAAGGGGGCTGTCCTGTGCCTTGTAGATGTTTAGCAGCAACCCAGCCTCTATTTACACTAGATGCCAAAAACACCCACCCCAGTTATGCCAACTACAAATGTCTCCAAACTTTGCGGCTGACTGTCCCCTGGAGGGTACACCCCCATCTCCATCCTCATTTCCCCTGAGGACCACTGCTCTGATGACTTTCCACTACCCTCAAAACCCAACTCTAAACTCTCTTTCAGGCCTGGGAAGGATTAGGCTCCCCTGCTCCTCTGGTCTTATCTTTCCAAAATTCCCTTCTCCGGCGCAGATGCACACAGTACACACCAACCACACTTCCTGTCTTACAGATCCCCAGAACTAACACACTTTCTTTTCTTTTGAGACGGAGTTTCACCCTTGCTACCCAGGCTGGAGTGCAATGGCGCGATCTCGGCTCACCACAACCTCCGCCTCCTGAGTTCAAGCAATTCTCCTGCCTCAGCCTCCTGAGTAGCTGGGACTACAGGCGCGTGCCACCATGCCCAGCTAATTTTTTGTATTTTTAGTAGAGACGGGGTTTCACCATGTTGACCAGGATGGTCTCGATCTCTTGACCTTGTGATCCACCTGCCTCAGCCTCCCAAAGTGCTGGGATTATAGGCATGAGCCACCACACCCGGCCTAATTTTCTTTTTTATCTGTAAAGCTGTAAGCTCCCAGACGAAGCTCCCTGCTTTTTCCCTATTGACTAGTGCAAGCAACAAATATCCATTGTGAGGGACAAATATTAACAGAGCTCACCCAAAGAAAGTTCTCAAGTCTTCTGAGCACCATAATTATTAGGTAGAATGACAAGAACGTACATAAAGGCTCTCAGCTGATGGACCCGTTTATCCCTTGCTAAACAGACTTGATATAAGGACACTGTAGAACACTTGGAATTAGGAGGAATTACCAAAGTTCCAGGATAGGTGACAGCATGACCAGGAATGGGAGGGGGGATCTCGGGTGTGGGAGAGCATACATGCGAGACAGAGGTATAAAAGCACATGACATTTTTGGATAAATTACAGGACTGCTGAATTAGGAGTTTGCCCTGAGAGGAACAGATTCATTGACAGAGTCTGAGCAAGTGGTCTGTTCAAATGGTTAGGCCTGACGCGAGTTGGAAGGCTCTCTTTTGGACAGAATAGATTGGGGAACTTGGAGTCAGTGACTTATGCAGAAGCTATCAGGGTCATTAGAAAGAAAAATCAACTGTGGCCCCCTACCTACCCTTCCTAGGGTGTTCTCACTCCCTACCTGCCTTTTTTTTCCCCAGACAGTCTCACTCTATCACCCAGGCTGGAGTGCAGTGGTGTGATCTCAGCTCACTGCAACCTCCACCTCCTGGGTTCAAGCGATTCTCCCTAGTAGCTAGGATTCTCAAGCCCGAGTAGCTAGGGTTACAGGTACCCACTACCACACCTAGCTAATTTTTATATTTGTAGTAGAGTCGGGATTTCGTCATGTTGGCCAGGCTGGTCTTGAACTTCAGACCTCATGATTCACCCGCCTCAGCCTCCCAAAATAATTGGGATTACAGGTGTGAGCCACTGTGCCTGGCCAACATAGGGGTTCTTAATAGAATGCTGGTAGTTCCTTCACTTGGACTGGGGAGAAAATGGTATCTTTAACCCTAATCCCTAACCAAAATCAGCTTTCCTTCAATTATGAATGAAGACAAACAGGCCACAGTAGTAGAAGTGGAAGTGGTAGTGGTAGTAGTAACAGTAGTGGTAGTAGTAGTGGCAGTGGTAGCAATAGTAGTGGTGGGAGTACTAGTGGTAGCAGTAGTGGTAGTAACAGTAGTAGTGGGAGTAGCAGCGGTGGTACTAGTGGTAGTAGTGGTGGTGGTGGGAGTATTAGTGCTGGTGGTAGTGGTAGTAATAGTAGTGGGAGTAGCAGTGGTGGTACTAGTGGTAGTAGTGGTGGTGGTGGGAGTATTAGTGCTGGTAGTAGTGGTAGTAATAGTAGTGGGAGTAGCAGTGGTGGTACTAGCCGGAGTGGTGATGGCAATAGTAGAGGTGGTGATTTGACACAAAGTATTTTCATGTCACATTACATTTGCTGAAAACATCAAAGGGCACTGTTTATCATCACTTCTTAGAAATTATGGTAGTTATTGGACTACTGCTAGATCTTGTTAATCTGTTAAAGAGGCATACTACTATATCACTGATAAATGTATTTTTAAAAACCTTATTGTAAGGCCTGGTGTGGTGGTTTATGCCTGTTATCCCAGCACTTTGGGAAGCTGAGGTGGGACGATTGCTTGAGCCTAGGAGTTGAGACCAGCCTGGGCAACATGGCAAGATCCATCTCAACAAGAAAAACAAAGTTAGCTGGGTGTGGTGACATGCATCTATGGTCTCAAACTACTGAGGATGTGAGGCTGATGCAGGATTGCTTGAGCCTGGGAGGTCAGGGCTGGGTGATAAATAAAACCTTGTCTCAAAAAACACATGAATCTACCTGGGAGGCAAAGGTTGTAGTGAGCCAAGACTGCACTACTGCACTTCAGCCTGGGCAACAACTGAGAGCCTGTCTCAGAAAAAAAAACCAAAAACAACAACATTATTCTAAAAAGGGCCTGCAGGTGTCACCAGACTGCCAAAGGAATCCATAGCCTGCCAAAACGTTACAAACCCCTGGCTGGAGGAGTTTCAGGGCAAAAACCTATTACAGCTGAGGGCCTTTGGAGACTAAAATTAGCTTTCTGAGGTCTGAGGACATTCTGTGTTCTGCCTTTACTGTCTTCCCTTTGGAAAGGGAGGCCATCCGAGGAGAATCCACAGCACTCCAACTAGGGTGGGGTCTGCAAAGGGCAGTCACTGGCTATCTGAAAAGGCAGGCTCAGGGGACACAACCAGAGAAACCCCCTTCTTGCTGTTTGTCATCTCTGTTGGCCCTCATCTTCCCGTGATGCCCACAGCACAAACCTCAACACGGAAGGAGCCCCACACATGCTTAGACTTAGAAAACGAGAAGGGAGATAGCTAAGGACTCTGTATTTCATCCCTTAGAGATATGGGAGAATTGTAGAAGAAAAACATCGCCAAAATCCTTTATTAAAAAACAAGTTATTACTTGTTAATAATAAAGTCCTTACTACTTACTTTTGTTCTAGCTGCATTCGGGTTTTAACCATCCATATAGGATTCATTAAGGAATTTGTGATAAAAGCTGGAAAAAAAAAACAGTAAAGGTCAGTACTTATTAAAGATGTCTATTATCATATGATAAACTTTGAAATCAGGATTTCAATGGCCTAATAAAAGTAGATGGCAGGAAGCTGTTTTATTTCTGTCCTGCAGATAGAAGCTTTGGTTTTCCCGTTAAGTGTAACATCTACTGGTATTCAAGTCTTTTCAACCTCTAGGTGGTGCTGTTGATATTTGTGTTAACATGATTCCTACTGTAAATTGTAACTGTCCTAAACCCCAATTTATAATCTTCAGATATAGAAATAATTTGTTAACTTTTAAGACTGATCCACTTATAGGAACCATTTGTCAGTAAGCCTTCTCCATCTAATTTTTTTGTTTTGTAGAGATGGGGGTCTCTTTTGTTGCTCAAGCTGGTGTCAATTCCTGGGCTCAAGTGATCCTCCAGCCTCAGCCTCCCACAGTGCTGGGATTACAAGCATGAGCCACCACATCCAGCCAAGCCTTCCCCACCTCAACACTGTGAACCATTCCAGGACAATCAAGAAAAGCAACAACATGGTATAATCTGACATACAGTATCGCTTCTCTAATACCTCATGCTCTCCACAGTGCTGGGGCGGGGGGCAGATTAATTTGATACTAGGATCAAATACTATGCCACTGGTTTTAAGGACTTCTTTAAGGCCTGTTTATTTACCAAGGGCTTTCTTTCTAAATTAACTTGGCAAAAGTCACAAAGCGGGTTAGTAGTTCTTAGCTCATGGCAACTCACTGCTGGCCTATCTTTAAGTGAACAGCAACCTGTTTTTGGAACTCTGCCTTTCCTCCTCGGAGCTCTGTATTCCACAGCAATGGCTTCCTTGTATAAACCAACTTTAGCATTTTCTATTCAGGGTCTAGAAATAATTAGCTATAAATATTCAGACAATATTTATTTGTTGGTCGCACTTGTATTTGGAGTAACAACAGCAGTCAAAACTGGTGTGCATCTTACAGACTGGTAGCAGATGCAAATTGTTTGCAAAATGCCGATTTATCTTTCTAGGCACAGCCTACTGGTGGCTCACACCTATAATCCCAGCACTCTAGGAGACTGAGGCGGATGGATCATTTGAGCTCAGGAGTTTGAGACCAGTTTGAGCAACATGGTTAAACCCTATTTTTGCAAAAAATACAGAAAAATTAGCTGGGCATGGTGGTGTATGCCTGTAGTTCCAGCTATGAGAGGCTGAGGCAGGAGGATGGCTTGAGCCCAGGAGGTAGAGGCTGCAGTGAGCTGAGATCATGCCACTGCACTCTACCCTGGGCGACAGGGCCAGACACTGTATCAAAGCAAAACAAAACCAATTTTAAAAACCACTTCTATATAAATGGACGTAGAACTCTATATAAAAGAACCTTCTCTCAGAAAGCTACACGTTCATGTTTTGCAACCAGTACATCGTGGGGAAAAGTCCTGCTGTAACTTTTCTGTAGGAAGTGGAATGGTTCCCTCAAAAGAGAACAGATGCCCTACTAGCTGCCACGGACCCTATTGGAAAACTCCACTGCAAGCCCCACACCCCAACTGCATCACCCAGGGCTGGAGTCGGAAGTGCCAACTGAACCAGGTAAGGTGGCTCATGCCTATAATCCCAGCACTTTGGGAGACTGAGGCGGGCAGATCACAAGGTCAGGAGATCGAGACCATCCTGGCTAACAAAATAAAACCCTGTGTCTACTAAAAATACAGAAAATTAGCTAGGCATGGTGGCATGCACCTGTAGTCCCAGCTACTTGGGAGGCTGAGGCAGAATCGCTTGAACCCAGGAGGCGGAGGTTGCAGTGGGCCGAGATCACACCACTGCACTCCAGTCTGGGGACAGAGTGAGACTCCATCTCAAAAAAAAAAAAAAAGAAGTGCCAACTGTATACAGTGTGTGTGGGACCCTCTATGGGAGGATCACGAAGAAAGCAAAGCAGCTCTAATTTTAGAAAATCATCTGATGGAGGCGGGTGTAGTGGCCCATGCCTGTAACCACAGCACGGGTGGATTATTTGAGGTTAGGAGTTTGAGACCAGCCTGGGCAACATGGTGAAACCCCATCTCTACTAAAAATGCAAAAATTAGCCAGGCATGGTGACAAATACTTGTAATCTCAGCTACTCGGGAGGCTGAGGCACAAGAATCACTTTAGCTTGGGAGGTGGAGGCTGCAGTAAGCCGAGATTGTACCACTGCACTCCAGTCTCATTTTAAAAGAATGAGACACTGTGTCAAAAAAAAAGAAAAAATCACTTGATGGGGAAACAGGAAGACATGGAAAGTTATGTCTATTCCTTTAGAAGAAGGAAATACAAGCCGGGCACAGTGGCTCACGCTTATAATCCCAGCACTTTGGGAGGCTGAGGGGGGGCGGATCACGAGATCAGGAGTTCAAGACCAGCCTGGTCAACACAGTGAAACCCCGTCTCTACTAAAAATACAAATATTACCAGGGCATAGTGTCAGGTGCCTGTAATCCCAGCTGAGAGGCTGAGATTGGAGAATTGCTTGAACCCGGGAGGTGGAGGTTGCAGTGAGCTGAAATCATGCCACTGCACTCCAGCCTGGGCGACAGAGCTAGACTCCGTCTCAAAAAAACAAAAACAAATAACAACAACAACAACAAAACCCCCCAAAGTATGAAATACCAGTAGCATGTATAGAGCATGTACATTCTGAGGGCAAATAAAGAGCTTTAGTAGCCAAGGAAAATAAAATCAAGCTACAAACCACTCTGACTCATTGTATCAGTTGTAACAAAGCTTTAGAAAAACTATTTTAGGTGCAAAGGAAGCAGGGAGCTAATTTCTAACTCCTGAAGAAACTGTTTGGCACAATGCATGCTTTAGAAAAGCGAGAGAGAAACCCTCTCTTCACTCACTAGGGTAACATACCTGCAGAGCCAGCTGAGAAAATGTGCACAATATTGCTGTTAGGCACGAAAATGCCATTAAATTGCTCTTTGGCTTTGGAGTAACATGCAAAGTATACAGCCCTGTTAGAACAAAGAGAACATTATAAAGAAATCATCATGGTGCAACTTTCTATGTCCCTCCAGAACACCTGAAAAATTTAGGAAAATAAAACGAGAAAGAAGCTGCCATGTAGCCAAAAAGCTCGTCCTCACCTGTGCTAAAACCAAAACCTGCCACAGGCACATTCAGGAAGCCCTTGTTTGTCCCTCCAGAAATGATTTAGTGATGACAGAGGTGTTTGAAGTAATCGAGGGAGGTGAGATTTGGGGAAGACATCTACAAAGTCCTTTTACATTCTTCCTTCTGGATAAATGCCAATCCTTTAAGCATCAACACACTGGAAGTTTAACTTTTTAAAATATTTCTAGAATAGACCACACTTTTTCACCTTGTGCCAAAACGAGAATGTTGAATATAATTTGAACTGTTGGCCGGGCGTAGTGGCTCACGCCTGTAATCCAAGCATTCTGAGAGGACGAGGTGGGTGGATCACGAGGTCAGGCGTTCATGACCTGCCTGGCCAACATAGTGAAATCTTGTCTCTACTAAAAATACAAAAATTAGCTGGGCACTGTGGCACATGCCTGTAGTCCCAGCTACTCGGGAGGCTGAGGCAGGAGAATTGCCTGAACCCAGGAGGCAGAGGTTGCAGTGAGCCGAGATCACGCCATTGCACTCCAGCCTGGGTAACAAGAGCGAAACTCCATCTCAAAAAAAAAAAAAAAAAAGGGCCCAGCATTCCATACTGCTTCGCATGGCTAACTGGAAAGTTTAATGCTTACCTTGATGGTGCAACTCCAACCAAATTTGGACCCAAGCCTCTAAAAAGTGACTTTGGTCCCTCTTTCTCCAAGATCGACCTGAATAATGAGAAAAGACAAATCTTTAAAACCCCTTAGGCAAGGCCTATGAAAAATGATAAGGAGTCAACCTTCCCATTAGTTTCTTGAGAGAATAAAATGTTTGAGTGATCTCAGGCTCGACTCTTATCTGATTCGATTACAATACAGAAGGGGAAGGCTGTAGAATACTGCTATCATACACACAGTGAAAAACTGCTTCAGAAAGCACCAGTTAGACATTTTTTCTTTTTTGTTTGAGACAGAGTCTTGCTCTGTCACCCAGGCTAAGTGCAGTAGTGCGATCTCGGCTCACTGCAACCTCTGCCGCCCGGGTCAAGTGATTCTCTTGCGTCAGCCTCCCGAATAGCTGAGATTACAGGCACCCACCACCATCCCCGGCTAATTTTGTATTTTTAGTAGAGACGAGGTTTCACCATGTTAGCCAGGCTGGTTTTGAACTCCTGAACTCAGGTAATCGGATGGGCTTGGCCTCCCAAAGTGCTAGGATTACAGGCCTGAGCCACTGCACTTGGCCCAGTTTGACATATTTTCAAGAAGTCATTTCCCCTGTTCACACAAGAGGAAGCTGTGCAGGGTCTACACTATACAATGAAATCCTGTGAAGGTAGGATGAGTATGGCAGAGGGTTCCACACATTATGTTGAGAATAATATCCTCAACATAACAAGATTCACTGAGAAACAGGTTCAGAGATTTCTTTTGGATTTGCTGCTTCTAACAATTCTATCTTCTAGATCTTTACCTTATATAGTAGAATCTTATACAGGGATATATGGAATAGAGCCAGCTCAGTGGCTCATACTTATAATCCCAGTACTTTGGGAGGCCCAGGCAGGAGGATCACATCACTTGAACCCAGGAGTTCCATACCAGCCTGAGCAACATAGTAAGACCCCATCCCTACAAAAAATGAAAAAAACTAGCCAGGTGTGGTGGTGTGTGCTTGTGGTGCCTGCTACTCAGGAGGCTGAGGGGAGAGAATTGTTTAGCCTGGGAGGTCAAGGCTGCAGTGAGCCATGATCACACCACTGCACTTCAGCTTTGGCAACAGAGAGACACCTTGTCTCAAAAATTAAGAAAAAAAAAAAAAAAAAGTTGGTTGAGGGGCCAGATTTTAAGGAGTAGGAAACTCTAAAAATTTTCATGGACAGGATGACGGTTATTTAAAACCAAAGCCTAATATCTCAAGTCCAAAGATTATACCATGACTGCTTTCTCTTTTAAACTTTTTTTTTTGTGTGGTGACATACACATAATAGAAAATTTACCATTGTAACCATTTTTTTCATTTTAAGAATAATTTTTATTTTCTTGCTCTCATTTGAACATTTAATAAAAACGTTTATTTAGGTTGAGATCTTAAAGTTGTCAGTGAAACCTCAGATTTACCTAACAGTTTGCATCCAGTAGTTTTTTGGGTTAACACAAACATCTGTATGGCCAAATGTTAACTCATTTACTTTTTGTGTTAATATCAAATTAATATTTGTAATATAGTATCCCTAAACAAATATAAAAACTTCTTGGAATTATTTTAAAATTACTGTAAAGAAATAAAATAATTTTCGACACTGAAAAGAAAGCTTGTCTTGAATTTAGAGAAATTCAGACAATAATCTATACAAGCTATCAGGAAAACCGGATAATGCAAAAAGCCATAAGTAATGGAAATAATTTGAGCAAATAGGCAGATGTGGTATTTTGTAAATCTAATGCTTACAAGTACAAAATCCTGAAATATAATGGAAATGTTTGCCAAAAGTAAAAGATCAACGAATGCTAGTGAAATGCAAAAATATTCCGTAAAATTATGACAGGCGTTTTTTTCTTCTATTCCTAGTGTGAGGATATTTAACAATATTTTCTCAAGTATGATCAAGAATAGCAGACAATAAATATCTAGGGGCTGGTTTGTTTGACGTAACTGGTACTGAAAAGAGCAGTTCTCTGAAGAGAGAGCAGTCATATTTTTAGTTAAATTTCAAGAAGACCTGCTGAAATGCACATAATACAACACTGCTTCCTTTATTTTCCATCCCATGGAATGCTATGCAGCCATAAAAAAGGAGATCATGTCTTTCACAGGAACATGGATGAGGCTGGAGGCTATCATCCTTAGCATACTGGGTGGACAAAATAAACTGCAAAAGGCCACTGGGATACCAGTTTACCTATATAACAAACCTGCACATATACACCTGAACCGAAGCCAGTGAACCAAGATTGCGCCACTGCATTCCAGCCTGGATGCCAGATTGAGACCTGTCCCATGGATCTTCCTTGACCAATGATCTTCCTATTTAATTTTGGCTTTACTGCCTTCAATTATGTTGTTTTTGGTTCCTTACATTTCATTTTGCTATACCAAAATGCCATGTAAGCTTGGAATCATTTGCGAAAGCGCAGGAAGAAGCAAAGTGGGAGCCCTTCCTCCCAGCAGAACCTTCCTCTGGAGACTGGTTGTGCAGTCCCTGGTCCCATCCAGACTGCATGGGGTGGCCCTGCCACCATCTCGAGGCCACCAGAGGATCGATGGCTGTCAACTCCGAGGCCCCTGCACCTAAAGCACTCACACTCAAGGGAATGGTGAGGGCCCAGTACGCCCACCTGGCCCTGTCTCTTCCCTTCCCTTCCCTCTTGGGAGGGCCTGGGAGCACAACCCTGGGCCATTGTAACCATTTTAAAGCGTACAGTTCAGTGGCATTAAGTACATACACACTGTTGTGCAACCATCACCACCATCTACCTCCAGAACCTTTCCAACTTTTCAAACTGAGCCTCTGCAATCATTAAGCACTAGTTCCCTAGACTTCTCTCCTGCCAGGTCCTGGCAGCCACCATTCTACTGTCTATAAATCTGACAACTCTAGGTATCTCTTATCAATGGAGTCACGTCTATTTTTGTCACCGGCTTATTCTGCCTATTCTTTGAAGTTCATCCATGTTGCAGCATGTGTCAGACTTTCCTTCTTTTTATTTTATTATTATTTTTTGAGACAGGGTCTCACTCCATCACCCAGACTGGAGTGCAGTGGCAAGATCTTGGCTCATTGCAATCTCCACCTCCTGGGTTCAAGCGATTCTCATACCTCAGCCTCCACAATAGCTGGGATTACAGGTGAGTGCCACCATTGCCAGCTAATTTTTGTATATACATATATTTAAATAGATATGGGGTGTCACCACCTTGGCCAGGCTGGTCTCAAACTCCTGGCCTCAAGGGATCCACCCACCTTGGCCTCCCTAAGTGCTGGGATTACAGGCATGAGCCACTGCGACCACCCAGAATTTCTTTTTTTTTTTTTTTTTTTTAAAAAGGCTGAATACTATTCCATTGCTGTATATATCACATCTATCCATTGATGGACACGTGGGTTGCTTTCAGGTTTTGGCTATTATAAATAGTGCTGCTATAAACATGGGTGTACAAATATCTGTTTGAGTCAATTGCTTTGGATTCTTTTGTGGAATCCTAGTGGAATTGCTGGACATGTGGTAATTCTATGCCTAATTTTCTGATGAACCATGAGGCTGTTTTCCACAGTGGTTACACCACCTTACATTCTCACCTGCAACATAAAAGGGGTTCCGACTTCTCTATAACCTTGTGCTTGTCACAAAAAATGTTAAATATTGTTTCTGATTAAAAGAGACTCAGAAAATCCTAAAAGGATTTAATGGAACATTCTTTAGAGGCATTTTTCTGCTGCAATACAGTTATTCAGGTTGATTACATTTACTCTCTTCAATGGTTTGGTTTCCATGGTATCCAATAGAATTTACATTGTTATATTACGGTCTTCTCTAATTTAATCTCCTTTTCTTATTGAGGATCTTTATTTACTAGTAGTACCTTCTACTTGATAGTCCTCAGGGTTGATCTAGCTCACAAATAATTATATGCTTGTCAAAAGTTAATAGAATGGCTGGGAGTGGTGGCTCACGCCTGTAATCCTAGTACATCTGGGAGGCCAAAGTGGGTGGATCACTTGAGCTCAGGAGTTTGAGACCACCAGCGTGGCCAACATGGTAAAACCCCGACTCTACTAAAAAAAAACCAGAAATTAGCTGGAAATTGCTTGATCCTGGGAGGTGGAGGCTGCAGTGAGCTGAGATGGCACCACTGCTCTCCAGCTGGGCAACCGAGCAGGACTCCATCTCAAAAAGAAAAAACAGTTAATAGAATGTTTTACCTTCATTATAACACACAGAAGTTATGATAAAACGATTTTTTACTTTATAGAAAAGATGTCCCTACAAAGCTAACAGTAAGTGAATCCTTCTATTCTATTTCTACCACTGCCACTTTCTCCATGGAGAAAGTTTCCCAAATTAAGCTGGTTTTTGACACAAAAGAGGTACAGCTGACATTCTGGTCCACAGCATACTGGATAATATTAAAGCTTTGTCTATTTCCAGCTCTCCTTCCTCAGATTACTATGCAACTTTTCATGCTCTAGGTTCTCTGAATGTATAAAATAAATAAAATTTTGAATCCTAGCCTCACTTTTCCGAATTTTTGGATGTTTAAAATAGAGACTATGTGTACCTTTAAGAACTTTCCTAAAAAGTAGTAGGCTAGCAATTAGACAAAAAAGAGTGGAAAGAAAAAAGTAAAACTACCTCTATTCACAGACGGAATGATCTTATGTCAAAATACTAAAGAATCTACTAAAAAAATTATCTCAATAAAGCTCTTATTGGCTGGGCATGGTGGCTCACGCATCACTTTGGGAGGCCAAGGTAGGTGTATCATTTAAGGTTAGGAGTTTGAGACCTGCCTGGCTAACACAGTAAAACCCTGTCTCTACTAAAAATATAAAAATTAGCCTGGTGTGGTGGTGCGTGCCTGTAGTCCCAGCTACTCAGGAGGCTGAGACAGGAGAATTGCTTGAACCTGGGGGGCGGAGGTTGAGGTTGTAGGGAGCCAAGATCTCGTCACTGTACTCCAGCCTGGTTGACACAGTGAGACTCCTTCTCAAAAAAACCAAAAAGCT